GTGTGTGGACAGTTGGACTGCATCATCTTGGAGGTCTTTTCCAACCTTGGTGATTTTGATTCTCTGGTCAGTCTGTTCCAATGCTTCGCCCTCTGAGTAAAGAGTATCCTCCAAACCACCTAATCTAAATCTCTCAGTTTAAAACTATTCCCCCTTGTCCTATCACTACCTACCCATGTAAAAAGTCCTCTTTTAGTTCCTCTTCAAACTGTATAACCATTAGAAAAAAATGTTTTAAAATCTTTCTCAGGGTGTATAATGATACAAAAAAAATATTGCAATTCTATCTATTTGTTTATTTCCTGTAGGGATGTACAGTAACTTGCTCCTGTGCTATGTGATATTCAATTTATATTCAAGAAATTACTTTAAGATCTGTGTTGTAAGCAAACAGTAAATATTCAATTCGGGAGTGAGAAGCCACTATTTTCAGAAGATGGGCCTTGGCTGAGAAGAGCTTATGTTTTAAATGCGGCTCATAACGCTTACTCTTTGTTAAAGTTGCTTGAGCAGGATAATGAATTTGGAGTTTGTGCAGTTACAGGGAAGGATGTTTTTGGACTACAGAGGGAGAGATTCCAATTTAGTAGGAAAACATCAAATTACTAGCATCAAATTCATGCTATAATTGCAGTTATAGCCCTGTTTAGTTTCTCTTTACATTCCATAGAAGTTAGTTAATGCCAATCTTCATAATTTCTTCAAAACTGCTCATGGATTTTAAATGTAGCAACTAAGAAAGAAAGATAGGACATCTATAAAGTAATCATCCAATATATCTTAAAGGCCAAGGAATCTGAGTTTTTGTAGAGGCTACTGTGTTGTGAAAGACATACCCTGACTCTGTGTTTCTAATTTTTACTAAGTACCTCTTTTTTAATCTAATAGATGTGTTGTCATTTCTTCCTTCCAGGAGTTGGTTGATTGCATGCAAAATCATCTTCAACTTGTAAAAGTTTACCGTCCAAATTCATAAGTAGAAACGGGCAGCAGTTACTCAAGCTACAAAGTGTGGTTGATTGTCTTCATTGTTCCTCAAGGCAGATGGTGCACACCCATAATGTGCAGTAGTCGTGGCCGAGTGGTTAAGGCGATGGACTAGAAATCCATTGGGTTCTGCCCGCGCAGGTTCGAATCCTGCCGACTACGGATTGCTCCTTTTTCCTGGAGAAACTCATGGCTCCTAGCTTAGACAGGTGTACAGTTCTCAAGGTAAAAAACTGTCTGGGTGCCTGGGCCCAAGGAATTGGTGGTGAATGGATTTATATGCAGTTGGAGGCTGGTCAAAAGAGATGTCTCCAGGGACTCAATACCTGGAACAGTTCTCTTTAATATCTTCATTAAAGGTCTGGACAGGGGTTCCTAAAGAAGTTTAAATGTTATCTACTGTCCTGGCTGAACAAGGAGATTTTGATGAAAGTCTGGGGGGGAAAAAAAAGAATTTACCATCTTTGGAAGAAGGGTCAGTCAACTCAGAACAGTATGAGGATGTTGCTGTGGTGTGCATGGGGAAAATTAGAAAGGCAAAAGCCCAGCAAGAACTTAATCTGGCCACGATCATTACAGATAACAAAAAATGTTTTTATGAATATATACACAGCAAGAGGAGGGCCAAGGAGAGTCTCCCACCTTTATTTGGTGCAGCAGGGAACATTATTACCGAGGATAAGGAAAAGGCTTATGTTCTCAATGCTTTCTGCTGTCTTTGATAGTCAGGCCAGTTATCTTCAGAGTACTCAGCCTTCTGAGCTGGAAGACAGGGATGGGGAACTGAATAAGCTTCCTATAATTCAGAAGGGGAAACAGTTAGCAACCTGCTACTTGACCTGGACTGTCACAAATCCATAGGACCAAATGGGATCCACCTGAGGGTACTGAGGGAGCTGGTGGAAGTGATTGCTAAGCAGTTTTTCATCATTTATGAGCAGTCCTGTGGGGTCAAGTGGGGAGGTCCCAGACAGTGGGAGACTTGCAAATGTGACGCCCATCTACAGAAAGGGTCAGAAGGAGGATCAGGGGAACTACAGTCCTGTCAGCTTGACCTCAGTATTGGGAAAGCTTATGGAGCAGATCATCTTGATTGTGATCATGTGGCAAGCACAGAACAACTGAGGGATCAGTCGTAGCCAGCATAGGTTCATGAAAGGCAGGTCCTACTTGACCAGCCTCGTCTTCTATGACTAGATGACCAGCCTAGTGGATGACGCTGTGGACATAGTCTAATTGGACTTTTGTAAAGCCTTTGACACTGTCTCCCACATCATCCTCCTGGAAATGCTCACGGCTGGAGCTGGACAAATGTATTCTTTGCTGGGTAAAAAAACTGGCTGGATGTCTGGGCCCAGAGTGTGGTGATGAATGGAATTAAATCTAGCTGGTGCCTGGTCACTAGTGGTATTCCTCAAGGGTCAGTATTGGAATCAGCCCTGTTTATTATTTTTATTGATGACGTGAACAAGAGGATTGAGTGCAGCCACAGAAGTTTGCAGATGACATGAAGTTGGGATCAAGTGTTCATCTTCCTGAGAGTAGGAAGGCTCTGCAGGGAGATCTAGATACTCTGAATTGACAAACTAAAGCCAATTGTATGAGCTTTTAACAAGACCAGCTGCAGGGTCCTGTGTTTTGGTCAAAACAACCCCATGCATCACTACAGGCTCGGAGCAGAAAGCAGTGTAGGAGGAAAAGGATCTGCGGGTGTTAGTTGACAGCCAGCTGAATGTGAGCCAGCAGTGTGTTTAGTTGGCCAAGAAGGTATTAGAAATAGTGTAGACAGCAAGACCAGGGAGGTGATTGTCTCTCCTGTACTCAGGCACACCTGGAATACTGCATTCAGTTCTGGGCCCCTCACTACCAGAAAGACATTGAGGCCCTGAGAGCGTGTTTAGAGAAGAGCAACTAAGTTAGTGAAGGGTCTGGAGCAAAAGTCTGACGGGGAGCAGCTGAGGGAACTGGGATTGTTCAGTCTGGAGAAGAGGAGGCTCAGGGGAGACCTTATTGCTCTCTACAATTCACTGAAAGGAGGTTTTGGCAAGATGGGAATTAGTCTCTTTTCTCAGGTAATGATAGGATGAGAAGTAATGGCTTTGGGTTGCACTGGGGGAGGTTCCATTTTGATATTAGGAAAAATGTCTTCTCAGAAAGAAGAGTGAAGCATTGGAACAGGCTGCCCAGGGAGATGGTTAATTCACCGTCCATGGAGGGTTTTCAAGAATAGGGTGGATGTGGCACTGAGTGACATGGTTTAGTGGGCATGATGGTGATGAGTTGATGGTTGAACTACAATGATCTCAGAGATCTTTTCCAACCATAATGATTCTATAAAATGTTAGAATTACTTTTTTTTTTTTTCCATGCCATTCTTCAAGATGTTATTCCTTTGCAGGATTCACAGGATGAATACATAGCAGGATGCATTAATGTAATGTGTGCATACTCATATGTTCTCTGTCTCTGCTTCTGTGTATTCTGATGCAGTGTTTAAACAAGTTTAAGTGATTAGGGGGTACTCCTGGCAGTAGGCTGGAATGAAGACAGTTCTTTCAGGATATAGCAAATTTACATTCTATCTGATGATAGGAATATTAGTAGTTATGATGATATATATAGTAGTTAGCTGTCAGTCTCCCTATACATAAATGTAAGATGCGTATCTGTGTGGAATCTTTTCCTCTTAGACTAATTTAACTAAATTAACTAAATAAGATTCATTGTCATTGTAGTATCAGAAGTTGTAGTAGCTCTTCCGCTTACTTGGAGGCATCCATATAGGCTTCATCACTGCTGCCAGAGTTGGAGTTCTTCTTTTGTGCTTTCTCTGCTTTTTGAAAAGGTAGGGTTATGTTTGTTTACATTTGCTACATCAGATTGCTTCATTTGCATCAACGTGAGAAACCTGTTCTCTCCACCTGGAAGAGAACTAGAAAATGCTTAGCCCATCTGATTGACTTGGGTGAGAGGTATCTGAGTGTCTCAAGTAACAATTACTCTGATTTATTCTCAGAAATATCTACTTGTTCATTCATTCTTTGTAGCTGCAGAGCTTTTGCCCTCATGCTCGGTGTTTTTTCCACATCTGATACCAATGCTAATAATAAATAATCTACAGTACATGACGAGCAGCTCTTGTAATTCTGCCTGCACAGAAAAGAGGTACCCAAACTGCTTTTCAGGATCCTTTTGGAGATGGGGTGTATGTCTTTTATTCAAGAATTTCTTTGAGTAAATGCAGGCTACCATTTGGGCCACGGGCTCATTTCCTAATTCTGATGTATCTGATGCTCTGTAAAACATCTGCTCCGCTAGCTGGGGCAAAAATGGCAGTCATGTGGTCTGTTTACCCAGTAGAGGGGGGAGGGAGTCTCTGATGTTTTGTCATGTACAGGAAGCCTGTCTGCTGCTGTACCTACCTTAAAATTGTAGATCAGCTGTGTCTTTTGAGGACGAAAGGTTCTTTACAGTGACGTCTTTTGTCCTGTGTTCCAGTAGATTCCTCAACTCTTTTCTTTTTTAAAAAAACAAAACATACAAAAAAAGGAAACCTGGAACTTTTTCTAGCAAACATTGAGCTAGTGCTTTTTCTTTTGTTTAGTCAAATCTGTCTTTATTTGTGAATTAAGAAAGACAAAGATAAGGCGCAGGGTAGCAACAGATAGTGACAAGCATCGGTGTACCCAGAATTATTTCATTACTACATGGAGAAGATTCAGCAACTTAAAAAATGATGTCCATTTAGGGAGGCAGATGCTTTTTTCTGCCTTTGTTGTTTCAGCCTGTAGAAGTTGCAAGGATTTAAAGGATTCCCTCTGGTGTTGTGGAGTAACAAAGAGCAGTAAGCTCACTGAGAGTTCTCAAACACTGAAAATTGGATTTTGTAGTGAAGGTACTGAACTCAGTCAAGCAACAGTGGGAAGAGCTGTTACAGAATAATGTGTGTGAGTCATTCCTGTTTTCAAATATTAATTTCTATAGTAGGCTTTTAACTTTTTCTCCCTGTTTAGAGTGAAATGCAACTGCATGAGAAAGAGATGATGAGGCAACATCATGAAGAGACGTTGAATGAGCACAGAGAACTAATTGATGCTCTGACTGCTGAAATACTTCTAGTAAGGGAAGAAAATGTTGCTATACAGGTACTAAGCCCTTTCTCCAATTTGCTAGAATAGTGAGTTTTGCTACAAGCATATAGACTGAGATGCATTGTCTGTATGTTCAGGAAATAAAATGATAAAATTAAATGAGGAGTCTGAGAATGTCAGCTATGGGACGGGGATGTTTGTAAACATTTTATCTTTATAATGTTTAATTTCTGAGAAAATGCTCATTCCCCGCAACTGACCTTTTCTTTGTTACCTACAATTTAATGATTTAAGCATCTGCAGCTACTAGAGCAGTGAAATAGAATAAACTATTATAGACTATATAATACTACATTCTCATTTTTTCAGTTTGCACTGATGGTAGATTATTGTTTACATCTGCAATTGAAGTAATAAATCAACTTTGGAGAAGAAGTGAGATGATAAGGAAAAGAAAAAAAGAGAATTTCTTTGATACAGGAGAAAAAAATAAAGAATAAGTGTAGAGACATGGATAATTCATACCTCACTGCAATCTCACAAATTCATGCAGAGATATTAAGAGGCCAAATTTCTTCTCAATGCTGCTTACGATCTATAGTTCTGATTCATATTGCTAGAATAAAAATCTTTCTCTCTTTTTCCTTAGAAAAAGCTTCAGCAGTACATGATTGAAACAGATGAAAAGATGACCTCTCTCACACAAGCATTTAAGGGCCTCCCTTTGGTAGAACCTAGAAGAGAAGAAAGTCCAAGCCATTTTGGAATTGCACACAGAAGTCCATCATGCACCCAAGGTAATGTGTATGCATGTGTGAAGGAAATGGGAGTTGTGGCTACTTTTATTCTTACAGTGGAAAATGTGGTAGTTAACAGATGTCTGTTTGAATAAATGCGTCTTGTGAACTTGAATCTCACTTCTGGTAATTCATATGTTGTGGGTTCTGCTGCAAGCATGAGCACTTATCTACAGATTTATTTATTTTTTTAGCATTATTGAAGCTGAATTCCATCTGTCTCAGTCTGGACTTGAAAGTTATCCATATAAACAGTCCTAGACATTTTAATGACAAGTCATGTACTTTAAAAAAAAAAAAAAAAAAAAAAAGGCAGAAAGGGAGTAACCTTTTCCAACAAATGTGGGACATCCTTCTCCTTACCCCAGTAAGACGTAAGGTCAGGTTTATCCTGAGGGTCTTAACAGGAAAAAAAAAATTCATCTGAAGCATGATCCTGGATTCCACCTTTCTGTTGCTGAGGCATAGTAATAGTTTGAGATTTGTTCTTCCACTAAACGCTGGAGGTCGCTGCTGACCAGAAACAGAAGTTGCTTTGATTTGTAAAGCAATCAAGCAGAAGGCTGTTGCTTGATGTTAGTGAATTATTTCGGAGGTGAATGACCACTTGAGAGATATATAATGTGTTTATACAGGCAAAGTTAACCTAGTGGCATCCCTGGCCAAACTAACCAAATTTATACTTCTAATATTCCTTTACAACTGTGTTTTCTCCCAGTCATCTTTTCTGATTGCTTATTTAAATCTATTATTTTTGCTTTCAAGATCAGTACCTTCTTGTGAATCCTGTGATTGCTTGGAGCATTTTGTATTCCTTAGTTAAATGCTGTTCATATGGTGTAGACATCACAGTCAAAAACATTCTTTCTGACTATTTCTGTAGTGTTCTCAAGAAGAAGCCACACACGAGATCATGTCTTTGTGTGACTTCCCTCAGCTTTGTAATAATTAACAACAATAACAAAAAAAAAAATCTAAAAACCACCATTAACTCATATTTAACAGGTTTGCAAAAATTCTTTCTTACTGGTCTCTCTTCTCAGAAAGTGGCATCTTCCTGAGGGGGAAGCTTCCTAAATTTGGAACAATGTTTCTTCCTTGTGAGCGGCTGAACTCCTCACTCTTCTACCCTTAAAGCTTCTGTCTGCTGCAGAATATTAGAGAGAGCTTATGCATAGTTTCTGCAGTAAAAAAAAAGCTGACAACAAACTTCCCTGTAGTGAGGAAAAATGACTGAAAGAGGAGTCAGGGGAAATATTGTGATGAGAAGGAGCTTTGTGAGGAGGATGCTTTGGAAATGCAGTTCTGTATGGTAAAACAGAGGAGGAAGATCTTTCTTATCGTCTGCCAGGGTCATCGTGTAGTGAGTGGAAGATCTTAGATTCCATCTCAGTAATATGAACCATAAAAAGTATCTTAGGCAAACAGCTTCTTTTGGCTCTTTGCCTTTACAGAGTACTTCTTGTCTCTTGTATTTTGGGATCACATATGTTCTCCCTGAATTTCCAGTAACTTTACCATTGGGAACAAATATCCTGAGCAAAATCATGAAGGAATAATTCAAACATAGCACTAAGGAAGCAGTGCATGCAAGTATATTAAAATTACTGTGGTCTCACAGCTAGCTACAGCTTTGAGTTCACACATTTCATACCTTCCTGGTATGTTCAGTGTAGATGATACACAAACTAGTTTTAGTTGAGTACTGAAGAATAGCTCATCTCTTTACTGGAGAGATGTCTTGATTTGAATTAAGTCATAATAAGAGCACCAGAGAGTTCAAAAAAGCTTTGAATTTTTTTTTCCACTCTGCTTTTCCTGCCAGGAGCAGGGATGGCGTAGATTTACTCTCCTGAGAATATTACCAAATGCAGCTTACTTACATACCTGTGCCTCACAAGTCGTATGTCTTTACATCTCGTGCATGGGCTACAAACAGATCTCTGACTAATATCTTGAAGTGGTGAGATTATGTACATAGGTTGCTTTGAAAGTAATGCCTCCTACTTATTCCTGTGGAAATACTACAGATATGAAGAGCACAATAATGCTGTTTGATAGAGCCAGTTCTCAGCTACAAAATACTACTTCTCAGCATAGTCACCACCATTAGCTGTGCATTTTTTCCAGCAATGAACAAGAGCCTGTATGCCATGCTTGTCAAAATCTGCACTGGCACAGATGACCACTGTTGAAACACACCACCTACCACCTCACTGTGCTCATATTCACTGGTGTCCATAAATGTTCAGCAAGTGTCAGTGAATGTCAGCGTGTGCCTTTGTTTCTGCATGGAGGAATTAATGACTCTCCTTTGCTTCGTCTTCACTTCTATGTCAGGCACCATTTTGTCAGGCTGCCCCTCTGCTGCTATTTCTTACATAGCAATAACACATAACAATGTTGGCGAGAAAGTTCAACCACTGCTGCCATAGCACCAACATCTATCTCTGACACTGTGGGCCAACATAAGAAAATAGGATGCATAACTTTCTGAGCAGAATTTGTATAATAGCATTGTTGTTTTTTTTCCCCACTCTCCTAAACCCAGTGAAAGTTTTGTACCTCGGGATCAGAAGAAAGCTGGGATTGTGTTGGGAATGTGCTCTAGTCTGTCTTTCCAGATACCTAAACGTAAGAATTGCCATTGAGATTTTTCTTTACGCAGGTTTTACACTAACACCAATTGTGCTGTTCTTTAAATTCTATTCCTGCTTCATCTCTTTCTTTAGAAAAACCTGATCTGAGCTATTTTGAATCCAGGACTGATGAAGGCAAAAGGAAGACTATACTGAGATTCCCTCAGGAAGAACACCCTGCCAAGACTCCTCAGAGGCCGTGTGCCCCAGGTGATGAGGCAGCAGGTAGAAGCTTGCCAGCTCAGGTCTTCCAGCCAGCTGTACTGTTGTCACCACCCCGACAGAAGAACAGTCCGGAATTGTCTCCCCACCAGAACAGTGAGATCTCTCTGGCTGAAGTAGACTTGGAAGTCTGTGTAGTGTGTTACTATTTCAATGTCTGAGGCTCATATTACCTTTGGAGTTATTTTCTCTTATTTTAGTCTGCCCAGACACCTTGGCACTATAGCTGGAATATCCTGCTTCTGCACCCAGACGGGCTTTTCTTTTCTTTCTGTGCCTGCTAGATTTCCTTTAGACTATCTGTCTCCTACAGTTCTCCATTTTTATAGTCTTATCAGTGGCAGTGCAGACTGAAATTTTTATCTTGTACTGATTTTGAATGTCACTTCTGTATGACTTGCGTTGTTCTAGCTTGTTTTGCTAGTTTTTTGTATGTGATTTACAGCACATTGTCTGTGATCTCCATCTACCGATGGAATAATACTTTCTCTGTCACCTATGGAACCATGGAGTACTAGAAATCAACCTATTCTGCAGACAAAGCAGGATGCCCATAGATTGCATGCTGGTCATGTGTGTGGTGTGTTCAAAGTTTGCTAATGATGACCACAAAAATATCCAACTATTTTTGTTGGCCATTGAGCTTAGTGGGTTGGTAAATAGTTTGTTGTTATTATAGAAGCTTTGTATTATTGGAATGTACTATTCCAAAAGCTTTGTTACCAGCCCAAATAACTAGCAGAAGAAAAATGCAGACTTTTAGTTTATTGGGTAAAATAATTGGATTTTGGAAAATGGAGGGCTAATTCAGAACTATTCCTTTACTTCTTGTTTGTAGTATTTACAACAATTTCTCAGCCTGCTGAAAACACTGAGAGAGAACCATGCAAGGAGAGGAGCTCACCTTCCCCCTTGAAAACATGGAGCGTGACTGAGGAAAACTGTCTCATGTCTCAAAGGCAACCAATTCCTCCTGCAGACAAAGACTTGCAGAATTCCCAAGAGAAAATCAGTTTGTCCTGTCCTGGTGCCACTACCAAAAACGACACAGTTGGAGAATTCTCTCAAAGCAGTGATCTGCTGGGACAGATAGCTGAGCTCACACAACAGAACTCGCTAATTAAAGCTCAGCTGAGCAAATTCAGAAGCTTCTCTGAAGACGTAAGTGACTGTCTGCCTCAGCCAGACCCAATGCAAAATTCAAATTCTTGTCCAGACTCTTCACAAGGGCAGGTGAGAATTTAAAAAAAAAAAAAAAAAAAAAGGAATGCTGGATTCCCTTTTGTGTGCATCTGCTTTCCCTTAGCTTACTGGTGTTATAACCGTTTCTTCCTTGTTTCTTCTTTAAGAAGAGTAGCAAAACAAATGTTCTTTTTGTTCATCCACTTGGAGACTTTGATTTTACTGTTCCCTAAGGTCAGCAGTCATTTCTAATATTGGAATATTAGGCCTGTGTTATATATGAGTGCTTAAAATCTGCAAGTGTGGAGCGTTTATAAGCTTCAGATGAAGTTCTGCTGTAAAGAGATTACTGCATATCTCTTGTAGCTTGGATAATATTAGCAACGAAATGGCAGCAGATAATATTAACAGTGCAAACACTGCATCAACCCACAGATTCCACGCCACGTGTCTTTTCTGCTGCTGTGATGTAAAAGCTCTTGAAATTTGTTTTGTTTAATATCTTGTAAATACTTGAAACTAGTATGTATCTGTTCGGGTCTGTCTTGTCCTGTTGTGCAGTGAAAATCCCAACGGTTTTGGGAAAGAACTTCAAGGCTTCAGTTTACGTAGGAAATATTAAATCTGCAACTAAACAGCTATTCAGTGGTACCCCAGTGAGTGGAGTTAACAGCACAAAAACACTCAATCCCTGTACTTGCTACTGTCTGTACTACTTCTGTCACAGTGGCTGAATTGCTGTTCAGTTCAAAGATCCTAAAGATTTAAAATTTCCTCATTTTAAATGTAGGCTGAGAATGTGGTCACTTTCTACACTGTGTTATGTTGTGTAACGTTCAGTAATTCAGTTGTACGAGGTGATGCAAACTTCTAAAATGTTGTTTTTGTGAAAATAATTACTGGAGGGGAAGGGGTCAGATGGATGAAAACCTGATTTAAAGATGAGTTGCAAGATAGTTCTGCTAGAAATCTGCTTTTCTTCCTCATTTGCTCTTGAGTGCATGGCCTTCTGGTTAAATATTTTCTTAACTGTGGTTAGTTGCTGGAGGGTTGTAGGTTTTCTATCTTTGTTTTGTAATTTGGAATTATACAGATGAGCTCTTTTTCCTGTTTGTAGGAAGACCTGTTTTAAAACATTGTGTTTAGTCATTTTAAGTTTTTAATTAGAAGTAATTATCCAATTATCTAAGTAGACTCATCTTGTGGTACCGAAGAGCTTGGAGGAAAGAATAGCAGAGCTGAATCGTCAGAGCACAGAAGCACGTGATAAACTGCTGCAGCTAATAGATCAGCAGAAATTAGCTGCTGCTGATACAGTCTCTCCAGTTCTGCCCTCATCCCGAAATTATACTGGTAAGTACCCAGCTTCAGGAGGAACAAAAACCTAGTAAAATGTTTTTTCACTTTTGCGGGAGGTCTCTTCCTTAACTGATGCAGTCAGCAGCATGCTTTCCATCAGTGTCTGCACGCTACAAGCACCCCTCATTTTAGAGGTGATGGATTTCAGACAGTTATGCAAGATACGTCAGCTAAACTCCTAAAGTTAGTTTTCTAGCAGCTAGTTCAGTGCAAATGTTATGCTTCGTGGTCAGTTTGTTGTGCCCTTGTCTGCAGAACAGTTCTGCTGTGCAGTCACTGAATGGCAGAACTGTGCTTTGTTGCCAGCAGCCAGCAGAGCAGTTCTCAGTGTCTCACATTCTCAGTATTTTAATTCTTGCAGCATTTTCATCAGTATTTTCTGATGGGCAATCTGTCTTTTTCAGAGAGTGGATATGGGTTTGAATGGACCTTCAGCCTGATGTTTTATGTTTGCTCTGTGTATTCCATGAAATTTTGAAATGTTCTGGAGTTCTCATCAAAATCAAGCTATTACTTTTTTGCCTAGAAAATGCAAGGAGGACAATTGAAGTGTCTGTTCCTGTGGCAGCTTCTGTGGACAGCTCCAAAGAAGATAGTGTTTCCCCTGGCAGTGTGACCAGTATGAGAAGGTAGATGTTGACCTTTTACTACTTTATTTTTGTATTCACTTGATTGCATACATAGAGAACTCTTAATGAAATATAATCATGTATATTCTTTGGCTTCATGGACTTTCTACTCTTTAGAAATAGCACAAACATCCGATATCATCTTCAACTTTAATTGTCTGTATTTAAAACACCTGTAGTGTCATGTAAGACTTATCACATGGGTTGTTGGCTGTTGATGAAAGGAGCCCAACTCAGCGTCCTAGACATGATTCTGATAGTCACTTCCACTTTTTTTTTTATATTTTTAATCTCATTTTTAACATCTACAGGTCTGTAGGAGGTTCTAGCAAACCTTCTTCACCCCTAAGTACCACATCAGAAAGGGTGACATTAAATCCTGTCAGTCAGAGGCCAAAGGTAAGACTGAAAAATCATCAGCCAGAGGGCTTGATTTCTGTGCTACGTAGATAGAATGCAAGACAGATATAGAGGAGGGAGGAACTCAGTCTTACTTTGAATGTACTGATGCTAATGGTAATCGATTCATAGCAGTCTGGATTCTGGATAACTGATAAAGGGAGGCCTGAGTGCTAGTGACGTGAGTTGTTTGCTGCCACAGAGCTGTCACTTACAAGTGAGTATTCCTGTAACTATGTTTTCTGCTGTGGCATCTATTTGTGTTAGAACTGGGAACCTCTGTCAGACTTTGTCAGACTGACGGCTCCAGAGAATTTCAAGTAATCTTTATAATGTTCTGATGGAGTCTACATTTAAGAGTCAAGCAAACTCTTACCTAGCCATTACACACGTTTGAAAGTTGAATAAATCCAACCTGAAAGAAGATAATGAGTATCTATTTCTAATTCCTGATTTGCAAGAAGAATAGACTACGGGGAGGAGATGCTTTCACATGGAAATCCAGATAATAGTATAATCTGGTAAAACATTCAGCCCTGTTAGTAGCAACCATGAGGGGACATTAATACTGACTTTACTGATGTCCAAAGTAACTTAAATTAGGAGTCTAAAACTTTGTATCCTAATAGAGGAGTAAGCATAAAGGAGCTTCAGAATACTGAAAATATTAAGTGTGACTTAAGCAAGGTCTCTAAAGGCAGTGGTGTGACCGTCCCTGTGGTGTCTGTGGCAGAAAATTGCTTTCTAGCAGGGAAACAGTGCTGACTAGCAAATCTGTGGGAAGTTTATGATGTATAAATTTCAACTTGTTTCCTCTTTTGCAGGCAGAAAAGCAAAAAGAAGAAGGCTGGTTTGCATTGTCGATGCATATTATGTAAAGGAAGCTGTGCTCAACTACTATTAATTTATTTATTTTAAAAACTTTCTTACAAATCACATTTATATCACTGTAGTCTCCCACTCCAAATGTAGACTTTAACTCTGAAGTGCTTTCCTGTGAATTTAAAAAGGTCAATAATGCTTACTGTATTTGTGCCATACAGAATACCGTAGGAAGTCCTGGGGATGAGTTTCCAGAACAGACACACTGCTGTAACTCCTTTTTACTGAATAAGTCTTCCATAAATGTGTGTAACTGGGGCTGGTGTAGCACTGACCTGTTACTGTATTTGTGGGTTGTATTACATGTACAGGTTGTATTACCTACGCTAAAGAAAAATGATGCAAGAAAATGTTTGAGAAACTTGAAATTTCTGGAGCATATATTTTTACAAGATAAGGGATTGAAAAAAATGGGAAACTGAGATGAGGGACTGCACATATATGTTCAAAAGCAGCATATGGATCAGGAAGCCAGTCTGTTCCTGCTGGATGAGAATTTGCTTTGGTAATTACTTGCTCCTTCTGTGCTCTATAGTTGCCCCCCAAAATGGTGTATTCTGTGCAGTTAGCATATCAAGGATTGCTTCTGAACTTGAGGATTGCTTTTTTAAAAAAATTAAGTATTTTTTTATAACAAGCATAACTTGACTAGAGGAAGTTGAATTAAGAGTTTCTATTTATAACATACTGAAGTTTCATCTCTGATACAACAGAAAACTGATGTGAGTACAATTGTATTAAGGTATTCTGGTGTGTGTGTGCATACATATATGTTGTTTGTATGTTGTTTTCATTTGACTTTTTAAAATGGCCATCATTTTAGTATTAATGTTAACCAATAAAATCTAGGATTATCACAAAATGCTTGTATGCTTAATCCTTACATTGTAGTAAACTCAGGCAAAAACCTTGATAATCTAGATAAAAAATGAAAAAGTTAGCAAGTCTGGATTTGATGAGTAAAGTTGTTTCAATCTTTTTTAAAGTATTACTTTTTTTTTTTAATTGGTGTAATGCTTCTAAGGGTATTGGTGGCTTGTGGCTTACAGAGGGGACAGTCCATATTCTCTTTCAATCAGTTCAGTTTTAGGAGAAGGAAGGAAACAATTTCCAGGACACCCAGCCCTGGATTGTGGACCTTTGCTTTCACAGCTTGAGCAATATCCTGGGGCTGAGGGGAGGCCTCTGAGGGGGGAGCAAGGGTTGCAACCAGCACTGCTGACTGCTGCCACAATTCCTGCAATATAGGGTTGTGATTCTGCTTGGTATTCTGGTCACACGAGGTCCTGAACTCCACCACCTCGTGGTCACTGCAACCGAGGCTGCCCTCGACCTTCACTGCTTCAACCCGATCCTCCTTATTATAGTGAGAACAATATCCAGCGGCACTCCTCTCCTAGTTGGTTCATCCACCATTTGCATCAGGAAGTTATCATCAATGCAGTGGAGGAACCTCCTGGACTGTGGATGGCTGGCTGAGCATGCCTTCCAGCAGATAGCAGGGTAGTTTAAAAATCCCCCACAATTACCAGGGCCTGTCATTGCAAGACTGTTATCAGCTTCCTGTAGAAGGCCTTGTCAACTTTCTTGCCCTGATCTGGTGGCCTGTAATAGTCATCCACAACAGTATCACCTATGCCAGCCTGCCCCTTAATTCTCACCCACAAACTCAACTTGTTCCTCATCTGCTTCTGGACAGAACTCACCCAAAAATGTAAGGAAAGAAGAGAAAATAACTTGTGCCCTGGACTTTTTCACCAACCAACCAAAGGCTTATTCCCCTCATACCATGGGATGTAGCTTCCTACCTTCGTCTGGAAGATCGGTAGCAGGCAGAAGTCCCTCGAGTGCACCAGGCTGGGGAGCACCCTGGTGATATCCCTGATCTTGGCACCAGGTAGACTGCAGACTTCCCTATGGTGAGGGTCAACTCTTCATGTTGGGCCTTCTGTTCCTCTCAGCAAGGAATTGTCTACTATAATTACCCTTTTTGCTTTCTTCTTGGAGGCAGTCTTGAGACATCGTGTCAATTGCCTCTTCCTATCTGACCTCATAGATGAGCCTTCCACCACATCCTCACCTACCTCTCTCTCATTATCCAGGGCCTCAAACCTATTATGGAGGGGCACCTGGGGAAGTGAGGTAGGTAGGGAGAGGGGCTGCCCACGATGCTCCATGATCTTCCCAAGCATAGAGGTAAGACTCACCGGCTTGTAGTTCCCTGGGTCTTCCTTTCTCCCTTTCTTAAAAATGGGAGTAATGTTTCCCTTTTTCCAGTCACTGGGGACTTCACAGGACAGCCATGATTTTTCAGATATGATGAAGAGCAACTTGGCAACCACATCAGCCATCTCTCTCAGAATCCTAGCATGGATCTCACCCGGCCCCATGGACTTACATACGTTATATGTTAGATGGAAGTCCACATGACAGCATAAAGCTGAAGACATGTTGCTGAGGGACTGTTTGTGTTACTGTTTGTTGGTTGTCTTTTGCTTGTTCTGGACTTCACACAGCAGCTGTAACTGCTACTAACATCCGATTTTTCATATGTGGTGAAGAAAGAAGATTGGGGCTCCGTTTCATTTGTTTTTCAGTTGTGTTAAAGAATAGGCTGGTATTATCCAGCCCCAGTGTGTTGTTATTGCCAGTGACTAAGATTTTGCATGATAAACATCTTACTGCCTCACTTCCTTTTTTCCAGGCCTTTCGTGTTCCTCCTTTTTGTCTTAAATGTCATTAGAAGGACATCTGACAACATTAAGCACAAATGTAAAAGGCAGGTACAGAGAAGCGCTGTAGTTTTTGCTTTTCCCTTGTCTTCCTCTTTTAATAAATATGCAAAATAGGAATAGGTTTCCCTCTGAAAATGTTTCAAGGGAAAAGCACGGGAAAGTTTCCTATGAATGTTTTGATTACAAAATTCTAAACGAAAAACTTCATTCCATATAGTGGTATAATTTCAGTTTTGGAAATGGGAAGCCTAAGAGATTTTCTTGAGTTTTCAACTGTTTCCTCTTTCACAGTCATCAGTCTTTTTGTAGGCACGTGAAAGTAATGTTTTGCCTTGTTTAGCTTTTGATTTGGAATGTTAAATAGCTGATAAATAGCTGAGGGCAAGAAGCAGAGAAGTGAAGACCAGAAAGAGATCTCACTTTTTAAACTTACGTAATCCAGTTTATGCAGGAAAACTGGAAAGTTTTAGGACTGATACTTTGATCTTTGTTTTACATTACACCTTAGGAGGACATACAATGTCCATAAGCCTTTTTTAAGCAGAGAAATCTCAAGTGTGACTGTTTCCCTCTGAAACCTTTAGCTACAGTGAAGTGCCAATGCCATTAGAAGGCAGTCTGGCACTGCTGATGCATGTTGTGTAGGTGCACATTAAGATCAGCCCTTACAATAGTGATGTGGCCCTGTAGGTCCAGGGTGACGAACTGTTACTGAGATGCCTTGTCCTTTTTAGCTGTGGAAGCTTCTCACAAGAAGAAAAACTTTTGTGATGACAGTGAAGCCTACACTGACAAAATGAAGTATAAAGATGCTTTTAGAGCTGCTCTGTTTCCAAAAGGGAGATAAAAGTGCCAAGCTCTGTAGGTTCAAGACATTGGAATAATATTTTACTGCTGGAATATGCTTATTCAGCTTAATTTGTTAATAGGAGAAGTTGCTTTATTCATCTTCAAAAAAGAAGCTGTATGGAAAAAAAAAATAGGATTGAAATTTTTGTTGCATAATGGGTTTAAATGTGTGATGCAAATTAAACCCTAGGGGATCTGAGTGCCTTGCTTTTCCAAAGTTTGGAATGTTTTATCTGTGACTAGTTTCTCTAAGAATGAAAGACATAAGGAGTTCTGCATAATAAGAGAACTCTCTAGCACACACTTGTGGAGATGCCCCTTTTGTGAACTGAAGTGTAGTGTTAGAACACTCTGATCAGCTGTGACACAGAGTAGCTACAGTATAAGATATGATGATTAAATTTTAATATCTACAAGTTACCATACTGAGGGCTAGGAAAGTTACTCTTCAGAGGTTTCTCCATGCATTTCTGCAGGCAAAACTTATTTTGTGCCTTTGAATGAAAATGCTGACATAACTGTCAGAGCTATCTTAGGAATTCAATGCAGCTGCACCACTCCCGTCTTTCTAAGCCTCGTCCATGCACAACCCTTATTGAACCCTGTAAGGCTACTGGCAAAACTCTGTTCAGGCTTGTACTTTGAGCCTGCTGTAGAGGTGAAGCTATGCTTCCAGTGACACAGATGGATAGATGAAGTTTAAGAAAGATCTACTGGATGGAGAAATGTTTGTCTTAATGTAACAGTTATCCTGTGCTGGGCAAATTCAAGTGTGGCTGTTCATTCTGTGAGGCTGTTCTGGGCTGCAAAACCCTAAAGTTTTAATGAGAAAGCTAGATACAGATACATCTAAATGTGGTGCTTGTTTAACATTTGACTTAGTGTTTGTTATCTGAAGAACCTGTGAGATGTCCAGAGCTTTTTTTTTTTTTTTTTTTTTTTTCCCCAGCTGGAGAAATTGAAGCACAGAGCAAGCTGTAGATAACTCCATGTTTCCCAGTCCTCCCACAGTGCTATCGTGGAATCACCGAATGGCCAGGGTTGAAAGGGACCTCAAGGATCATGAATCCCCAACCCACCTGCCACATGCAGGGCCACCAACCTCCCCATTTAATACTAGACCAGGCTGCTCAGGGCCCTGTCCAACCTGGCCTTGAACACCTCCAAGGACGGGGCATCCACAACCTCTCTGGGCAGCCTGTTCCAGCACCTCACCACTCTCTCTGTAAAGAATTTCCCCCTGACATCCAACCCGTCTCATGCTATCTCATCTTTGGGCTGGGCTTAGAGATACCTTCCCCAGCACTGTGACAGCTGTGCTCTGAGCAGGTGCAAGACTCAGAATACAATTTATCATGCTAATAACAGGCAGGTAGATACATTAATATGTAAATGTAATTAATATGTATTTTTTATATTTCAGTTCTTAGACATTAAAGTAAGTACAGTGCCTCGGGAACGTTCCTTCAAGGTGCAGGAAACACAAGTCGTTCACCTCAAAGCTACCAATTCTCTGAGCCAGAGGAGCAAGAAGGCACAAGGCAGGTGTGGAAAGGCAGCTTGGAGAAAAGAGTGTGTGACTCCAGAAGAAATTTGCAACACCTTCACTAGCTGCAGAGAAGTGGACTTCAAGACTTCCAGCACAGGATGGGGAAGAGCTGAAGAGAGCAGCTGCCAGGTTTGGGCCTCCTCCCCCTCCCTGAGGCTGTGCAGTACAGTTAATTTACAATTAATAGCAATTTGTCACAACCTTCAGCCCAGCCCTGCCCACTTGAAAACTGCTGGGTGCAAGATGGCACCAAAGAGGAAAAGGGAGAGTGCCTCTTTTCAGGACAGCAAGCTTGCCAGTTCAGGTTATCAAGTATTGTCTCAGAAGAAGCTTAGACAGAAAAAAAAAACCTGCATTTCCTACAAAGTTTCTTTACAAAGCCTATTTTTCCTCCTCTGCAGTCTCCTGGACAGCATGTTCAACGACTGTCCAAGGTGAGGTGCTTAAAAAGAGGTGCTTAAAAAGAGCTATCACGAAGTAGAGTAGAGATCCCAAAATTCTTGCTGGGATATCTGAGTTAAAACCTTTATACTCAGTTTCTTGTTATCAGTTTATATATCTATAGATATATATAAACACACACACACACATATATGTATATTTTTTGTAATGCAGCAGAAGGTGTAAATAGAAACATAAGGAGGAAAATGGAGTTTGGGACACATCTGCCCAATACAGTTATGCTTTCTGGCCAAAATCTAAACAGAAGTGGGTGCAGTGCCTCAGCCACAGGAAAGAAAGGAGTGAAGGGGGCAAGTGAAGTAAATAAAGGAGCTGTCAACCTCATAATAGCTATACCCCCATTCAATAGTGTCCACTGTATGTTACATCTCTGTGTCCCCCATGGGCAGTGAAGGGAAAGGAGAATGGTTCTGTTGTCTTCTTGGTGTGAGTACCCTTATCTATTTTCTTTAGCATATAGGAACTTATCATCAAGATCACATTCCCTGTCTCAACTATGGCTTAAGGGCAGGTTAAAAAGCCACGGACAAGACCTTGAGAGGTCACACACAACTTGCTTTCTTAGAAAACCCGACTTGAAAAAAATCCAGTTTCATCTTTCTTTCCAAAAATATAGACAGGACTCGGGAAAGATTAAAAAGAATATAAATAGCAGACAGAAAGCAGGTGGTTGGCTGCAGGGAGAGCCATGCAGGAATGCCTGCTCAAGGACAAGCCTCAGCACAGCCAGCATGACTGGGGACTTTCACTGCAGCTGACTTTGTCTTTACAGAGCTGCTGCCCTTTGAAGAGAGTACTGCTTGACCAGCTTGAAATCTCCTGCAGATCAGGTAGATGAGAGATCAAGCTTTCTCTTTTTGCTGCCTGTTTCATACCCACCTATCTGCTTCCAGTTTGCTCTTTCAGGATCCAGCCAACAATCTGCATATGAAGTTGGTGCCTCTTTCACAGGTGTTGCCTACCATGTGTGCAGTTTGCGTATGTGTGAAGGGAGGTGCTTGGCAGTGAAGGTGTTTCCCAGAAGAGCAAGCACACCCAGAAATGCCCTGCAGAAAGTCCGTGGGAGATTCTAGGGCAGATGGCCTCCCTTCTCTATCCCAGTCAGAGACCCAAGCAGGAGATCAGTGTGAGCACCCTGCTGCAGCTGTCACATTCCCCGGGCCTCAGCATTTAGAAAATGTGTCATGTGAGATTTGGCATGGGGCAGTGTGGTTCTCTGCCTTCCAGGCCCAGCACAGGCAAAAGTCAAGCGGCACCTCCTTTTCAGAAGGCAGATTTTACCATTTTAGAGACCAGTCCTACTCCTTCATTGCTGGTGGAAGTCACCTCTGTCACTGAGAGAGAAGGAAAGAAAAAGGCAATTACATGGCTCCATAAGAAACATGGCACTGGCCATTAGCTAGACTGACACAGTGTTAAGAGGACATACAAAGCCCAGAAGCTTGGCCCAAGATGTGTAGGTAAATTCATCCTCTCTCATTTTCCCAATAGCCTTACAACATCACTTGCCCCCTTTTCCTCTTGACTTCTGTTTCACAGTCTGTAGCCTGGGTTACATGCAGCTATGCCACAAGCAGAAAGTTCAGTGCAGCTTCAGTCAGTGCTTAACTTGCACACCCTGATGGTCTTGCTGTCAGCCCACAGCAAATATTCTGGAACCAGAAGCCCAATGAACAGTACAGAAACACTGCTTCCCCTAGTTGAGTGCCTCTTGCTGTTAAGTGCACGTTTTGCTAAAAGAGGAAGAGATTCAGCCCAGGCTGGGAGACAATGCAGATTCCTTATTGAACTGGGGATTTGGATTTTCTAGGTGAGGTTGATATAAACAGGAAGAGCTGTTAGCTGCATGCCTAGGGGATAGACAACAAAAAAACAGTTTGTGCAGAAACAAGCAATGGTGCTTCAAAAGCATTCCCAGAAGATTAATGTGACTTCAAAGAATCATCTAAACCACGGTAGCTCCCTAGGGCTGGCAGACGCACAGTGAAGCTTCGAGCAGTTGGAAAGCAGCCAATGGTCTGTTTCACTTCTCTATTCTTGTGAACTCCCCAGTAAACTGCTTTCCCCAACCTTTCACTGCCATTTTCCTAGGCCTTGGCATTTTCTGTTGATAAGACTTCTAGTAATTTTTCTCTGAGCAACTTTCAGACCTTTTCATGTTATTGTTTTTCTTTTTGTTGTTTGCTTGTTTTCTTTTGTTTTTTCTTTGTTATCTTTGACTTTTCTGGAAGCCCAACATCAGCTGCCCTGCTCCTTGCTGTCACTATTCCTGGCAAGATAGTCAGGAAGAGCTTCCTAAAAGTAACAGTATATAGGAACAAAGAAGCTTGAGGCATCCTGTTCCTCATTTAATCATTGATTTATGCCCACACTACTCACTAGGAAGGAGTCTAGGAAGGAAATTGGGCTTTTAAGACTTTTTGGTACACGTACAAAGTGTTACCAGTATTTCACTAGAAAAAATATTAACGGGAAGGCAGCATAAAGCTCTCCTACAGATAGACTAATGAGCAAATACAATGGAAACATTATACAAAAGCCCTTGAGAGACAGAGGGAAGGAAACCTTCTAATCTTCCATGTCTCTGCATGATGATCCTGTGCTTGATATTAGGAAACAGGAAGCAGATTAACAGGAAAAAGAAGAAGGAGCTGGCAAAGAAAGTGCAATAGGGAAAGAGTAGATCACCCAGTGCAAATGTACTGAGTGGTTCCGACAGACGTTTTTAACAATAGCAGGAAACAGTCTGAAGAGGATTCCACTTCAAGTAAATCTCGGGTCAAATGATGGGGGTATCCGTCAACTCTTGTGAAATGTGACAAAAGGAAATGTTTAGTGTATTTTTAATGAGATATTTGCATTGTTTTGGTTTTGTAACTATGCTACTCTATTGCATCTCAACATTTATCACAGAATCATAGAATGGCTTAGGTTGGAGAGGGCCTTAAAGATCATCTAGTGCAAGGTTGCCAACCGCTAGATCAGGCTGCCCAGAGCCCCATCCAGTGTGACCTTGTATGCCTCCAGAGATGGGTCATCCACAAACTCTCTGGGCAACCTGTTTCAGTGCCTCTGCACTCTCTGAGTAAAAAATTTCTTTCTAACATTTAACCTAAATCTACTCTTTTTAGTTTAAAGCTATTCTTTTTTGTCCGATTACTATCAGACAGTGTAAAAAGTTGGTCTCCCTCCTGCTTGAAGCTCCCTTTGTGTACTGGAAGGTCACTATATGGTCTCCCTGGAGCCTTCTCCAAGCTAAACAAGCCCAACTCCCTCCCTCTTTGATCATCTTTGTGGCCCTCCTTTGGACCTGCTCCAACAGCTCAGCATCCTTCCTGTACTGGGAGCCTTGGGCCTGGACACACTACTCCAGATGGAGCCTCATAAGGGCAGAGTAGAGGGAAACAATCACATCCCTCTCCCTGCTGGCCACTCTCCTGATGCAGCCCAGAATACCATTGACCTTCCGAGCTGCAGGAGCACACTGCTGACTCATGTCCAGCTTTTTGTCCACCAGGACCCACAGGTCCTTCTCCACAAAACTGCTGTCAATGAATTCTCCAAGTCTATACTTGTATCTGGGATTACTTCAGCCCAAGTGCAACACCTTGCACTTGATCTTGTTAAGCCTCATTACATTCTCATGCTTTTTGAGCGTATTCAGGTCTCTCAGGATGGCATCCCTCTGTTCCGTTGTGTCAACAGTACCATTCAGCTTGGTGTCATCAGCAACCTTGTTGAGGGTACATACACACCATCCTTTGGTCTATGTCACTGATAAAGATGTTGAGGAGCACCAGTCCCAAGACTGACCCCTGAGAAACACCACTCATGACCAGCCTCCACCTGGACATAGAGCCATTGGCAACAACCCTCTGGCTACGACCATCCAAACAATTCTTTATCCAGCAAATAGTCCAGCTTTCAAACCCATATCTCTCCAATTTAGAAATAAGGATACGGTGTGGTACCATGTCAAAGGCCCTGCACAAGTCCAGGTACTTGGACATCATACAATCATAGAATGGTTTGGGTTGGAAGGGACCTTTAATCTAGTTCCAACCCTCTGCTATAGGCAGGGACTCCTCCCACTAGATCAGGTTGCCCCATCTAGCCTGGCCTTGAATGCTTTCAGGGATGGGGCATCCACAGCCTCACTGGGCAACCTGTTCCAATGTCTCATAACCCTCACAGTAAAGAATTTCTTCCTAATATCTAGTCTAAATCTACCATCTTTGAGTTTAAAGCCATTTCCCCTTGTCCTGTCGCTACCTGCCCTCATAAAAAGTCCCTCCCTCCTGTAGGCCCCCTTCAGGTACTGGAAGACTGCCATAAGGTGTCCTGAAGCCTTCTCCAGCCCCAGCTCTCTCAGCCTGTTCCCATAGAGGAGGTGCTTCAGCTCTCTGACCATCTTTGTGGCCCTCCTCTGGACCCGCTCCAAGAACTCTATGTCCTTCTTGTGTTGGGGTCTCCAGAACTGGACACAGTACTCCTGGTGGGGTCTCATGAGAGTAGAGTAGAGGGACAGAATGACCTCCCTTGACCTGCTGGTGACACTTCTCTTGTTGCAACCCAGGAAACTGTTGGCCTTCTGGGCTGCAAACACACATTGCCAACTCATGTTGCATCTGTCATCAACTGACGCACCCAAATCCTTCTCAAGGCTGCTCTCAAGCCATTCTCTGCCCAACCCGTATCTGCGCTTGGGATTGCCCCAGCCCAGATGCAAGACCTTGCACTTGGCCTTGTTCATTAGCACTTCTGCTGGCAGTTCTTCTTTCCTTTCTCTGAGAGCCTCACGGGGTTCTTGTGACCCATCTCTCTTGCCCACTTCTTCCAGTCTGAAGAAGGTTAAAGGGAGATTGCTGCCATTGCGTGCATTATTCAGCAGCAATCTGTCCCGTGCCTCAACCCAGTCGTCTTCAAGAAAAAAAAAAAAAAAAAAAAAGGGAAAAAAAAAAAGAATGAAAGCGGTCGCTGGAGGTCCTCGGAAGACGCCTTACGGTTGGGCCTGCCCCCTGTTTCACACAGAAAGACCGCGGACCGCCGTGAGACGCCCCCGCCCCCAACCGCCGTCGCCCGGAGCAACGGGGCGGCCCGCGCCAGCCGGCGGCGGAGACCCTTAGCGGCCGGGCGGGAGGCGGGATGGCCGCGTCGCGCTGCCCGGCGTGCGCCGAGCCTTGCGTGGAGCCGCGGCTCCTGCCCTGCCTGCACTCGCTGTGCGCGCACTGCCTGCGGCGCCTGGAGACGCTGGGAGAGCCGGGCCGAGCCGCCGCCCTCAGCGTGCTGTGCCCGCTGTGCGACGCCGAGGTGGCGCTGCCGCCGGGCGGCCTCGGGCAACTCATCCCCGACTACACGGCGCTGGGGCGCGGCGGGACCGCCGGAACGGCGGGGTGCGACCTGTGCGCCGACGGAGCGGCTGCGAGGCGTTGCCAGACTTGCGGGGCGCACCTCTGCCTCTTCTGCTGCCAGGCACACAGGTGAGGGCGGCGGGGCTGCCGGGAGCCGGCCGCGGCGGTATAGCCTGCTTGCAGGTGGGCTGAGGAGGCTGCAGCTCCTCACAGGGAGCGGAGGGGCAGCGCTGAGCTCTGCTCTGTGTGACAGCGACAGGGCCCGAGGGAACGGCATGGAGCTGTGTCAGGGGAGGGCAGATGGGGGTTGGGGACAGGGTCTGCACCACAGGGCGGTGGGCATGGGATGGGCTGCCCAGGGCAGTGATCCTTACAGGGTACTTCCGACTCAGGATGTTCTACGGTTCTGTGATAGAATGACAGTGCTACCACAGGAGTGGGCACGCGATGAGCCTTGCAGGTTGTGCTGTCGTGCTTTGGGGAAGGTGTATCTCCCAGGAAAAATGGGGAGGTTGAGATGCTGTGGGTTCATTTCATTCCAAAAATGTGAGTATGTGCAAAGGCACTCTTAGGTGAAATGGCAGGCCTGACACTGACCTGACCTGACTGCTATGGTTGCCACCTTCTGATGCTCCAACTGTTGTGCCCACGGATCCTGCATGCACTCTCAGCATGTGTGCGAGGCCAGGATCTTACAGCAATAGTGCTGTAGCTTTGCAGTGTGCATGTCATTGTGGAACTTAGTTCTGTTGGAATATAGGAGAACTAAAGAAAAGGCAGGAGAGAAATTTTCACCTCAAAGAGAGTTGTGTCACTAGAGCAAGAAGAAGAGGTTCTGGTAATGTACGAGTAGGGAAGAGGAGGGCAACGCTGCAGAAGAGAAGTGACCTGAAGCCTGAACAGCCTTCTGAAGCAAAGAGGCAACAAGCAGGGTCAGGAAAACCCTCAGTAATGCTGTCCCAGGAAGTCACAGCCAAGGTTAATCAGCTTGGCCTACTCGCTCCATGTTTACTGCCTTTTTTCATTTAATAGCAAAGTCTTTCCACAGAAAGAATTGAGGCAAATTCCTCACCTCCCTTCTCCCTGCAGATATCAGTGCCTGTGAGGTGGTTCTGATTCTCCAGTTACCTGTCCACAGGGCTGCAATTTTCAGCATGCCATTCTAATGAGCTAATGCCTTATAGCCCATGCAAGCTGCTAAAGAGTAATGAACAGAGATGTTGAATAACAGCCCACCATTGACAGAAATAGCTGTGCAAGGTATAAAGCAGTGGGAAGATTGTCCCAATGACACACTTCCAGCCATATTTCTTGATATCATTTTTTCATCCCATTAGCATCTGCAGACTAGCATTTGCTTTCTCTTGATGGCAGAGCAGAACCAGGGCCAAGGAAAGCAATTTTGAAATGATTTTCAGCTGCGCAAGGAAGATGTCTAAGGATCTGAGTGACACTGTTGTGCCTCTTGGAATAAGTGGGAGAATCTTAGGTGAAGTCAGGAAAGTGTAGATGTGGAGGATGTAAGCAAATACTGCTAGAAGGCACTGAAAATGTGCTGGACCTGAGGGAAATTGCTGGGAAGCAAAAGGAGTAGCATAATTGGCCATGTCTTGCCCTATGTTGAGATTGCCAGGACAACACTAGAGCTTCGTCCTCAGAGACTTTTTCATTGTTTGTGACTCAGGGTTCCCTCTGCAACTGCCAACAAACAGCTTATTTATGTACAGTCATCAGTGCAGAAGGCAGGGAAGGAGAGGTGGCTTTTGTTCCTGGTCAGTAACTGGCTACCAATGCCCAAAATAGCAGAAGATGGAAACATTTCATGGAATTATGTGCCATAGTGGCTATCTGGGTAAAATACGCTTTGTGTCCAGCCCCTCATATCCTCTTAGTGGCATCTAACCAAAAGGAAAAGGGGGTTGACTTTCAGAATAACAAACATTTTAACACGGACTGTTGCCTACTTCCAGAACTAGATTTTCCCCTAGAGGGTCACTTAGAGCTTGTTTGCCTCTGCAGATCTAACACTGGTGAAAATCATTGGGTTGACACCGCCTGTTTCTATATAAAAGTGACTGTCAGTGAGCAGTTCTGTTTGAGACACCTTCTGCCAGCTCTTACTTGGCAGTGCACACCTTCCTCCTGCTGGCTTTGTCACAGTGGACTCTCGAGGTGATTACAACCATCCCTCTCCCGACAGGCTCCATGGAGGGACTGCTGGCAGTAGCAGCCTGGCAGCCTCTTCCCTGGGGTGTGTGGCAGTGGTGGGGCACACAGTTCTTGTGTCTGAAAATACTGCTGACAGCATGTGGAGGGCCTGAGAGCAGCTTCTAATGAGTTCTTTACAGATGGTGTCCTCTTTTGTGTGGAGCCTTGTTCTCAAGAGATGCAAGTCCTTCATGCAGTATGAATTTAAGGGGAGACTGGAGGGAGCAGTGCACTTTGACTTGCAGACTGCCATTTGTAAGTGTTCTTGGATGTTAGCGTTTCATGTCCAACGTGCATAAAGTTCTGTGGTTGCTTCCTTCTAGGAGACAGAAGAAGACTGCCTCCCATGTCGTGGTGGAGCTGGAGAGCAGCAGGGATTGCAGTCAGGCTGGGAAGCCTTTCTTCTGCCCTTCCCATCCCTCAGAGGAGCTATGGCTGTTCTGCGAGCAGTGTGAACAGCCCATGTGCCAGGATTGCGTTGCAGAAAGGCACCAGCAGCACCCTTATGACTTCACCAGCAATGCTGTGCAGCGGCACAGGGACTCCCTGCAGGAGCTGCTGAGAAGCACCCAGCAGCGCATGAGCACGTTAGAAAATGTGCTGAGCCAGACTGATGGTGTGGGCAGTGCCATTCGTGCTCGTGCAGAGGCCGTGGCCGCAGAGATCAGTCTGTTTGCCAGAGGATATGTGAAAGCGATTGAAGAGCACCGGGACCGGCTGCTGAAGCAGCTGGAGGACCTGAAGGTGCAGAAGGAAAACCTGCTGCACTTGCAGAAGGCCCAGCTGCAGCAGCTCTTGCTGGACATGAGGACAGGCGTGGAGTTCACGGAGCGCTTGCTGACAAGTGGCTCAGACCTGGGAATCCTCGTCACCAAAAGGGTGGTGGCAAGCCGGCTAGCAAAGCTGAACAGTGCTGCTTACAGCACCCACCCCAGAGAGGATGACAGCATTCAGTTCTCTCCCCAGGAGAGGGCAGGGCAATGTCATGGCTATGAAGTTTTTGGGGCTGTTATCTGCAAAGCTGTTGATCCAGCCAAATGTACCCTGCATGGGGAAGGTAACAGGGTGCCGTAACACTTGCTACTCCCTGAAATCACATCTTCCTTCTCTCTGCCTGGGTGGGGTACAGCTTAAGGCTCTGTTGGCTTATTGTCTTTACAGCTTCTGAGAATGCCCAGAGAATAACTGGCACAGGTGGCTTCATGGATGTTTGCTTTCTAAAGACTTGGGGCAGAGCCACCAAATAGATAGTTCAGACTAGCTCTCAGAGTACAGCCACCTCTGACCTGTGCAGCACAGGTGGGCAGACCCAGGGCTCACTCAGTCCTTTCTGTGTCACAGTGCAGATGCTGAGGTCTCTAGGGCTCTGCACTGTACGGTGGGCTCTTCCTGCTCCTTCCTGGGTGGGGCACTTTGAGGCCCACAGGGAGGACACCTGCTGGGGTCAGAAGTGTAGGCAGGTGGCCACCTGATTTGTGCAGACCTCTAGAAAAAGCCTGCCCATAACCTCCCACTGCCTATGGCTGTCCATTCTCCTGATCCCTGATCCACGTTTTCCTGTGGGTGGAGGGAGCCATATATCCTATCAGTGGAATCGTAGGTGTGCTCTAACAGGATTGAAATACTACCACATGGGTGTGAGATAGCAGTTGTGGTTGTTGAGTCCTTTCTTGACTTTTTCTCCACTTTCCAGATCTCTACAGTGCCCATCAGAATGAGCTGACAGGCTTTACCCTGCTCTGCAATGACACTACGGGGAAGCAGATGGGGAGAGGAGGAGAAGCCGTGATGGTCACCATCACCCACAAGGACAAGAAGGACTGGTGGGTATTTCACTAGACAACTCCCCAGTCACTGAGTTTGCTTCTCTGTCCCCCTTATCCTGACTCCCTCCTTGTTTGGGCAGGTTTAAAGAAGTCCTTCAACATCTGGGTCACTATCTGAAGAAGCAAAGGCACAGTGGTTTTTCCCACCAGTGTAGCAGTGATTTCTAGCAGTTGTGTACAGCAGTTGTATACAGTGTAGAGCTTGACACTGTTGGCTCATGCTTGTATTTGAATCTTTTAGTGGACTGAAGCTTCTTAAAGGATTCAGCTTACAGTGAGCATTGCATAGCGAGCTGTTGCTGCTTCCCACCCCTACCAGCAGCCACCTAGAGCTCCTGCTGTTAAAACCTAATGAGCATACAACATTGCAATGCCAAGAATGACCGTTGTGAGCCATCAAGCCCCAGAACCTCTGGCAGCTGATTGAGGTGCCTAAACTTGTGTTCTGGAGAAAAAAGCATTGCTGATACTTCATCACACTTTCTCCCGTTGTTGCAAGTGTTGAGCACTCTTACATCCTTGGAGGTTTTTGGGTGCATACACTGCAGCTGAGTCAAGATGTGAGCACAATTGTTGCAGGGTTTCTTCTTGGTGGGATGACCTGAAAAGAGACAGGATGCTAAACTTCCCTCATATGAGGAAGTATTGATGTGCTCATACAGAAACAGAGCTGGGTGCACAGTTGCTTGCCAGTGAAGGATCGTAGTTCAAGAATATTGCTCCTTTGTACCTTAGGTATATAGATAGCACAAGGAGGTGTATGTGTAAGGTTTATGTGGCTTTTGCTTGGTAGGGTAGAGGTTGTCGTGGCCACATTAACTCAGTTTCCTGTTCATGTGCCTAGGCAGTTTCTACATCTGTTGCTGAAAGCTGTCTGGCTTCAGGGTGAGGCACAGCAGCTGCTGAAGAGTCTGAAGTATCAGCATGCAGTTCATGGCAGGAAGTGATGCAGGCAGCCATATTTGATGTGATATAGTGGGGGATGGAGAATACAACCTATTAATCTGTGAGGCTATTAATGGCTATGTTGTGGGGCACAAGAGACTAAATAGTAAAGATTAGGAAGATTACTTCCCTCTTTAAAGAGCTGCCTGCTGATTTTTTGTGGAAGGCTCTTTCTGTGAAGTAGGCAATCAATTCCCAAGTAACTGGATTATGTTTTTTCCTGTCACTGTCCACAAGTAGTGTGACACCCACTGAGCTTCATTTTGGGAAGGGGAATTGGCCAGCAGGGACCTAGAGCTCCTCAGAGTGTCAGAGAAGAGTTGAGGTCAGTGTATTTGGGGCAGTAGTTGAAGCGATTCAAACCTTCCCTGTTTATGTCCTGTCTTCCTCATGGGCTCCTCTAAAAGTAAACTGTTCTCTGAAACTGTGTTTACCCCTTTTTGGAGGGCTCTTATCAGATGGGATGATCTGACCTGCAAGTGTTCCTGTCAGTCATCTGCTCCTTCAGAGCTCTGGGTTACTGCAAATCCTTGCAGCACAGCTAGCTTTGTGTGACTTCCTTTGTATGGGTACTGCAGCTCCCTGTAGCTGGTGTGTGTGAAAGCTACTCAGTGCCTGAGCATCGCTTATGCATCCTGTCAGGCTCACTCAAGACCCACAGTTGCTGAAGAGGGGTGAGGATGAGGACTTGACCACAAATCTAGGGCCAAACAGTAGTTCACAGGTACAGCAATTTGCTGTCAATCACTGATCTCTTGAGCTTCTCTTTTTCTGTTCATAGTGCAGTCAAACCAACAGTGTGTGATAATGGTGATGGAACCTACCATATTTCCTACAGCCCTGAGGAGCCAGGCTTGTATGCTGTCAGCGTCTATGTGAAAGGGCAGCATGTACAGGTAGCAGTTCTTGTTTGTTTTGCCCTGTTTCTTCTTTACATACTTCTCCTTTCTAAGTATTTGCTTTAAATCTTTCTAAGAGCTGGTTCTATCACTTGGCAGTTAAGGCATGTCTTAATGATCTGTGACTGACAGGATCACCCAGCTTCTTTTTAGAAATGCAGGTGCAACAACAGATAGCATCCACTGCAGCAGCTTCTCTTCTTGCTTGTCCTCTGCAGGGCTCTCCATTCATTGTGATGGTGAAAAGCAAGTTCCGCAAGCACCAAGGCATGTTCCACTGCTGCACATTTTGCTCAAGTGGAGGAAAGAAAGCTGCTCGCTGTGCCTGTGGAGGGACTATGCCAGGTGAGTGTGCAGCTTTCCCTATGCTACTGCTGTCAGGAGGGTTTGTTGCATTCAGACTCATGAATGTAGATAGGTGTGAATGAGTATTCTAGCTCAGCTCCTCCCTTGCTTGTTCACCAGGACTGTGATAACTTGTGCACATACCTTCTGGTAGGAAGAGACTGCAGCGTGAGAAACGCTGCAAGATGTGCTGTAGGTTTTTAAAGGACATTCCCTGTAAGAGACCTGAGTCAGCTCTGTGGGAGATGTGGCAGGGCAGCTTCATGATCATCTGTCAGCCCTTCTCAGTGAGGCCAAGCATGACTGTTCTGCTGTAGTGCTGCCAACATGGCAGCTTCCTGGCTGTGCCACACAGCGTCAAATGCTTGTTGGAGAAGTCTCATTCCTTGTTTAGGATGAGAGCTCAATTCCTGTATTTGTTTAATCCTAACCAGCTTTCTTGACCTTGGCCTGCACGTTTCATTGTGTGTCCTGCATGTTTTTATTACACAACCAGCCTCTTCTCTGTGTTTTTTTTTTTTTTTTAATGTTTGCTCTGTATCCAGCTCTGGCCATAGCTGCCAGCAGCTGGCAGGAGGTTCTGAAGTGCCATGTCTTGTATTACTTGGCAGGCAAGGAGACAGAAATCTTCAGCTTTCCCCAATGATCGGAAGGGGGAAATCCCTCATGGTTGTTCCCCTTTGTTTATGGGACTCTGTCAACTTTGGTTTTAAATACGCATGTGCCTTCCTTTCTTAGACAAATCCTGGAGCTGAAGCACTCGCTGAAAGCCACTGATGCTGGGATTTTCTGGCCTCCTTTTAGGTCAAGTTGATAGTGCCTCTTCTCTTGCAGGTGGGTACCAAGGTTGTGGCCATGGACACAAAGGTCACCCTGGATGTCCCCATTGGTCATGCTGTGGACAAGTCAAAATGAACTCAGAATGTCTGAGTGGATTGCCCAGCGACAGATCACAGAGGAGTTTGCTCAGGACAGTGGAACTCTGAGGAGACAGTTGAGCCTCCGTGAGCTCAGGGCCCTCCTACTGGCACATGCCATAGGGATCCCCACAACTACTGAAGAGCCGTGTTGCCAGAAAACAACATGGTGATGGGTATGAACTGAGAAAGGAGGGTGAGGGAAAATAAAACTGTGCCTTATGTTCTACCTGGGGTGTGTATGCAAGGTTGTTTTGTGCCTAAACAAGAGCAAATTCCAGGAATTGTACCAGTGCCTGTACTTTTGACAACTCAAGATCTGTGGGTTCAGGCTCTGAGAGGAAACTTGGAGCCACCTCACAAGAGGGTCAATATGTGCCTCGTTCTGCATGACAGACAGTCTGCTGTCCTCAAAGTGGCCAAAGCTGCTTGTTGGGGCACATTCCAGAGAGTTTGTGTTCATGCTTTGGAGAGGTCTGGCAGCCTCAGAATGGCTTCTGCCTTTACCTCAAGTACCAAGCTGGATTTTGGCATTGTATGTGTGCTCATAGTACAGTTCACTCTCCTGGGAGCTGCTGTTCTGTTTGCAGCTCTCCTATTTTTTTCAGGTGAGCTGGAGTCTCATTACACTCTCCCCAGAGAGTAGGAGGAAGGCAGATTAGTAGTTTAACTGAAAGAAATTCAAAGAAAATCCAGTGTTCACAGGTATCAGTGACAGGAACAGGAACTGCAATGCCACCTTTTGTCCGCAGAGATAGTATGGGGCACAGCGTTGCTGGGGGTGATATGGGATCCAGGAAAGCACTCAGCTCAGCCACTATGACTATCTGTAGGAGCCATAGGTACAAGACTGCAGTTATCTGTCCCAAAGGGGAAGAGCAGAATGTATTTGAAGCAGAGCTTCTGGATTTGTTTTTCATGCCCTGGCAATGCTTTCTCTTTAGAATGAGAGCTTGTTCTAATTTCTGTGCGGAAGGGAGGGCTTATTCTCCTGGGTTTGTATGGTTGCTGCCAACCCATAGCTGGGAAAGTAACATCTGTGATGGGGAGGAAGAGGCACTTACTGCCTGCTACTTGTCTGGGTGAAGCAGACCCCACGTGTACCTTCTGGAACAAAACACATTCGTGGCTTTGATGCTGGGAACGCTACTGCCCTGAGAGTAACCTCAGTCACAGCTATCTCTTTCTAGGGCCTTGTAATGCTGCCTGGGGAGCTGGGGTGGGGACAAAGGTCTGACTGTTGGTCATTCTGTGAGAGGAATGCTGCTCTACTGTCAACAGTGAGGACTGGTTCTTGATTTCTGATGAATAGTAGAAATCTGCACTGTTTGTTTGCTTAGACCTAGAAGACTGATATATTGTTCTTTAGTCTTATGAAGCCAGTTTTGGAACCTCTTCCTCCCAGCAAGGGAGACAGATACTCTTATGCAAATGGTGTTTATAACTTTCCATTAATCATCCAGAGAGGGCTGTCAAACATGGGAAGGTTAGGCAGTTTAAATCTCCAAGTTAGGCAATTCTTGACTGCTGACTCTGAAAACACAAAGTGAAAGTTTAATTTGAAGTATCCTTTAATGGAACAAAGTGTAACCCATTCTTGTTCTTGCTCTGTGCTCAGTACCTGAAGGTAACATGAAAAGGAATGTCTCGTCTGTTTTTTGCCTTCCCATTCTTACATGTGTATTTTTTTATTGGAACTTCCATCCAGAGTTACAAAGAGAACACATAAGCACAGGACTGTCCTCTAGGCATATAATTCCAGTCTAAAAACATCATAGTTCTCTCAGACAAAGGAATGTGTTTTCACTTTAGGCCTTCCTTACACACCCAGTCACTGACATTTTCCAAGCAACTGTGAGAATGATACCTGTGAACAGAAAGTTTCAGAGAACTGCAAGTCAGCTTTGACTGAGCTGTACATTTGACAGGGGGAGAGAAGTGTATGGACAACATGGGCTGCTAAGCCTGCCAGGGCCAGGTCCTTGTTACGATTTTTTTGTAGACTTGAAGGTTCAGTCAGTCTCAGGGACTGACCACCTCTCTGTGCTTTGGCAAAGAAAGCTGTGTGTCATGGTAACCTGAAGAATTTTGCATAGAAAACATGTAATGACCTTAGCCCCTATGTGGGGGTTAGATGCAATTGTCCTCATTATTTGCAGGCAGGTTGCCTTCAGTATTCCTTACTCAAAATGTTTTGCCAATTGAGTATCGTGCTTACCTACAGGAGTCTTACACAGGTCCCCAGTAGCGCAAGAATGGTTTCAACTCCTATGTTGGTGATCAGCCTTAGGCAGTTGGTAGATTAGGATGTAGTGGTATCCTGCTGGCTGGCATGATGTCATTTCAGACCAGCTGGTGCTTCTGTTTATGAAGACATTTTCAAGACAGATATATGCACACTGCTGCAACAGTAAAGACATGTTTTTCTCAGGACAAATTTTCTTGCTGATAAAAAAAATAAAAATAGAAAATGATGAGAATGGGATTTGAGAGGCAAGATGGGGACTTAATCCCCAGATTTGGAAAACAGGAAAATGTGAGAAAGCTGGAGGGAAAAATGCAGTAAGAACAAGAGTCTGTGGAAGACCTGGAACAGTCCCCTCAGCATGGAAGACTCCAGAGAGGGTGCATCTAGGGCAAGGTATCATACAGCATCTCTCCTTTCTCAGAGAGGGCAAAGCACACCAGTGACACAACTGTGCTTGCACCTCCATGCACGAGTGTCTGGTTTGTCCCCAGAAGACTGCAGAAATACAGAAGCTGGCTCAGCAGGGCTTCTTGGCTTTTCCAAGGCAGAAGGTAGTCCACAGGAGTGCACTGACCACATGGGGTTCCACATCAGGGCAGACCTTGGCAGGAGCACACAGGTCGTGTAGGTGGATTTGCCAGCTTCTAGCTCAATGTGGCTCATCACCACATTTTGAAATATGAGAGCTTGTTCTGACTGGTGCTGCTTCCTTCTTCCCTTCAAGGTCAGGTGAGGCCAAGTACAGGTAGGACTGATAAGGCAGCATCAGATTCTCCTCCCAGCCTTCAGGGTGGGTCTGCTGGTGCTCCCATCTGCAATGCTTCTCAAGCACCTCAGTGCTATCATTACTCATGTTAGGAGCGGAAGGCTGGAAACATCTCCAGCATTTCACCTTTTTCAGCCTGCTGTGCCTTCACCTCTCTTCAGTGTTTCATCAAATTTGGCTTGTCAGTATGCCACTCCATCTTCTTCCAGTTCCTCTCCTTCACAGATACCTCCTCCAGTTTTCCAGTGACATTGAAATAAGATGTGAACTTGCTGTAAGAGAACTCTTCTGAAAAAATTACTACTTCTGAGGAAAGAAATGTGTTGTACAGGCAGTGACTGGCCTGGTACTTGTACGTGTGCTTCCCACAGGCCACTTCTTGGCCCTGCTGTTTTTTTTCTTTTTCTTAACTGTCAGTCCTTCCTGGTCCCACTGTTCCCTCATGCAGGCAAGAGGCAGCATGTGATGTGGCCAGCTGTAGGGCACTGGCTGGTGGGCCTGGCAAAACTGGTGCCTGCTGAGGCCTTCCCTCAGTTGAGAGCTCATGTCTGCCTTCTCCAGGTACTCACCAGCTTTCAGATCAGGTGGGACCAGACCCTGCTGTCATATTTGGTCAGATATTGCTAATAATCCAGTAACAGCTAAGCAGATATCCCGAATACCTCATTTTCTTTTACAGCATAAACATGGTAAGGGGTAGTCTCTGGCATGAGCTGCTCAGTAGTTAATGTGATTTTACCCTGGATGAATGGTCTTGCCCTTGTCCTACCAGTGCAGTCTGTCCCTGAGATGCAGACCTGTTTTATCCAAGTGGAAGTAACCTAACCATCAACCCAGCGTGAACTAGTGCTGAAAGGAGACACCTAGTTTGCACAGTGTACCAAAGGCAGCTGTAAATCAGGTCCCACAGAGGGCAGCTGGATGTTTCTTCAAGTTTCTTTCCCACCAGATCACTGTGTCCCAGAACTACTCTTTGCTTCTAGTAATGCTGTACCAGTTTATGGTACGTTGAGTAATCAGTAGAATGCTAAAAAGTAAATCAGATCTCTTCAGATTAAAACCTTATTCCAGGCTAAAGCAGAGGGGAAGTAAAAGCTGTATGAAATCTGCATTCTAAGTTTAAACTATTGCAAAAATCAAGGAGTGACAGTGATTATCAAGTGAAATATTTCCCCTCCTCAGTTTTATTTGGGGTGGTAGGGTGATGGATGAGCTGTCAGTAGCGGCTGCAATTGGAGCATTGGAAGTAGGCTCTGCCCACATCTCTGCCACAGGCCTTGCTGAGGGTGTTCAGGCATCTCCTCTAGCTGTACAGCAATTACCTTAGCAGTTAAGCACTCCTACTGAAGCAACACATCAAAAACTGAAATAAATCCAAAAATCCAACAGCAAACAAACCCACCATTAACAGGAGAAGGTCCCAGCCTGGATCCTCTGTCCTGCAGTCCTATCCCAACACGAGTAACACTGCATGTGGTACTCCTCTGACCTTATGGACAGCTAATTCAGCCTCCTAACCCAGCAGGAAACCATCTGCTTTCTAATTTTCCTTTGCTTTTTACCGAGTGATAGGCATAGTGCAGATTCAGATATACACTCTGAGCAGTGCAAGGTAGTAAGACATAGGAGGAGGTTCCACACAAGCTGAGGCATATAACCATCCTGGTGTGAGGAGGTTGGAAATGGTGAATTCTGAGTGCTAAATGCCTTGGAATACTTGGTTGACTTCAATGCATGCATATACAAGAGCCACAGCCTCTTACAGCTCTCTCACTGTTGTCTAGAAAGTCTGTTATGTGTCGTGCACTATGCCTGGATACATTCATTCCTCGTAGCGATTAATGGGCTGTTTTAGAGTTGAATTGTGATCCAAAAGATTGAGCACACACACATCTGACATCTTGCACGTACACCATTAGGTGGTCGTGTTCCTTAGAACATCTTAAGCTCTCCTGAACGTCACTCAGTCTTTGTTGCTGGTTTGGTCACCGATTAGTGTTGATTATATGCTGGGTCTTCATTTAGGCCTCTGGTTGTTGCAGAGAAAGAAATTTGCTTTGTTTGTTAGGTTGATCACTGTGCTGGACTGTTCCCAGCTCCTCCAGACATCATCTTTGCATGGAAAAGCTGTTAGCTCCCAGTAACCATCCAAACTGACTGGAGGTATCTAAGGACTGTGAAAAATCCCCCTTTCACCATCTTCCCTGGAACACAGTCCACATGTAAATGACAGGATATTCAGGTTCTCTTTTGGGAAACCAAGCAGTGGTGCAAGCTGCCTTCCCTTCTCCAGTCTTTCACAATCTCTGCCCTTCTCAACCTCTTCATCCCCAAGAGCTACTCAGTCCAACCCCAGCCTTGAGTGAGATCAAGCACATAGGGAAAGACTTGGAAGGTCTGGTCCACTTTCTTTCTTCTACATGCTCTCATGTCCACAGTTCTGAGAGCAGCAGGAGCTGGGCTCAGGAAAGAGTAGTTTTGTCTGAAAGAGTCTAGCAGAAGAAAATAGCAGTCAGGAAAGTGACCATCACCAAACCTGTGCAGCTATTCTGGGCTCAGAGGAGCCTCTTAGCACAGTACAGAGAAGCAGAAGGTATAATGGAGCCAGGAGGTGAACCTGTCTACTCAGTGACAACAGCATAATTGGAAATTTTAAGCTGGGAGACCGGAGCTAGTCCTGGATACAACTCTACCCACCAGTGACAGGTCAGCTGTGGGTCTGCATGGGAGACTGCAGCAGCCTGATCTCAGGAATAGCCAGCTACTGAACTGTAAGCTGGAGTATTTTTCAGTTCAAATCAAATAAAATGCTTCTTAAATGGATGGTTTAAGAATTTTCTCCTGTTTCCCTAGTGACTGGCCTGGTGGGGGGAGCCAAGATACTGTTTCCTCATTCCTGGGAGTTCACTGCTTGGACTCACCACTCCTTAGCTGGGTTCAGTTATTTAAGCAGGACAGCCTGGGAGAATGTATCATGTGAAAGACAGGGGCTGCGTTGCACACTGTGTGCAACCTTCAGGCACTTGGTGTTTGGCTCGTCTTTGTAGGTGCAGTGACCATGGCATCCCAAGGCCAGGTGATGTTCTGGAGGTACGGTTTAATCTGTGTCTGCTTTGGGAGTGAGAGGAGGGAGGGAGCTGCTTCTTCCAGACCGCTTGACTGTATCACACTGCTGCCTGGAGCTATCTAGAGACCAGTTCTCTGCAGCTTGACCCTATACTGCATTCACTGAGGCTACTTAAATACCAGAATAGCTTCTTTTTTTTTACTGTCAGTAAGGCAGTGCATCTGCTGGACACTCACCTGCAGGTCATCAATTGCGCCCAGAATGCAGATAGACGTCCCAGAAACTGCATGGGTGGAATATACCATCTTGAGATGAATGCTGCTGTAGACTGGGGCAGTGATGGCTTGAGGAAGTTCCTGTGTGCATGCTCTGTTAGGTTGGGGTATCCTAGGCTTGAAGAAGGTTCCACGTTCCTGCTGTTGAGCCACCAACAAGCTGCATCTCTTCACCTCAGGTATGAGTTCTTCCAAGGTGGATGAAGGCAGAGGTTCCACCGAGGTGTGTGAGACACTTGCACTTGGATTTATTCTGTAGGAAAGGCTTCAGCTGCTCAGAGTGTGTGTCCCATGCAAGCTGAGCAGCAGCTGGGAACAGGATGGCCTGTGTGTGAGTGGAAGTGGCCTCTCCTGCACAAGCCATGCTCCATCTTTCTCACATCCCCTTGGTTTGAGCAGCTTGCAATAGTGGATATCAACGTGCTGCTCACGCATGGGGTGTGAGGTCTCAGTGCTCTCTGCTCACCTCTCTGGGGATCTGTTCCCTCATCAGTGAGGATGACCTGGTTTGGTAGGGAAGGGCTGTACTCATGCACCAGGGGCTGCAGTCAGGAGAACTCTGCACTGGGGGAAGAACCTGGGGCTCCTCTCCTTCCACCACATGATCCTCTAACTTTGATGAAGAGCACTCACAGCAATGCTTGCCACTTCCGCAGTCCTGCACCTCACCAGAACACCTCACTTCAGGTCTGTCACTTTCCTGCCTCAACCTCCTTCCTACCAGCAGCTCTACAGACATAAGCCAGGTGTAAGGGAGGTAGGCTGCATGGTAATGGTGTTCTTTTTTCCCTGAATAGCATGACCACAGTCATTATCATCCTAGCTGCCGTGATTGCCCTGATCATCGGGTTTGGTATCTCAGGTATGTGACCACTTGCATTCCTTGCTGCTGCCAGGCAGTGACACAATCCTGCCCTGGCATCTGTAGCCTCAATCCTGAGATATAATCCTGTGTGGAAGGGCCATCCACCAGCTTTTCATTAAGGCTTCATTTATAATGATTGTGTGCAAGATGGCTGAATGAAAGTTGCACAGGTGACTTCAGTCTGACATTTCTCAGCAAAGTATCACTCCATGGCATTAAACCACAGCTTGGAGAACAGAAGGCTCCAGGGAGACGTCATTGTGGCCTTCCAGTACTTGAAGGGAGCATATAAACAGGAGGGGGAACGGCTGTTTACAAGGGTGGGTAGTGATAGGACAAGGGGGAATGGTTTTACATTGAGACAGGGGAGGTTTAGGTTAGAGATTAGGAGGAAGTTTTTCACACAGAAGGTGGTGACACACTGGAACAGGTTGCCCAAGGAGGCTGTGGATGCCCCATCCCTGGAGGCATTCAAGGCCAGGCTGGATGTGGCTCTGGGCAGCCTGGTCTGGTGGTTGGTGACCCTGCACATAGCAGGGGGTTGAAACTACGTGATCATTGTGGTCCTTTTCAACCCAGGCCATTCTGTGATTCTATGATTTAAGAAGCCACCTACAAGGTGTTGCCAGCTACACTTGAGACCAGCCTTGCCTGTGAGACAATAGTGGAGCTCCCAGAGCATGGACACTGGTCGATGCTGCAAGGGAAGTGAGTTGTCATGGTGACAACTCTAGGGCCCTGCTTCCCTACCATGGCATGCAAAATGGATCCTTTCTGAGAGGTGTCTCAAAGCAAGGCATGGCTTGAGCCTGTTAAATTTTCAGGACTGGTGATTTCTCAAAATTCAGCCATTTTTTCCCCTCATTGAGGCTCTGTACTGTGCTCTTTGGAGATTGTGAGCTCCTGTGTGGTTTAAATAACACAGAAATTTACACACACAGGATTTCCAAGAAGATTTGTCATAGGCATGAATGAGCTTGGCTGCTCAGGCTGAATTTCACTTGACCCAGTAAGTGAATTCTTGACCTCTGCTTTCACAGCAGAATTAAAGGCACTTTTTTTTTCCCTTTTTCTTTTTTTTTTTCTTTTTTTTTGTTATTGTTATCTTGGGTTCTGGCAACTGAAACATTTACTTTTTTATGTTGCTGAAGAAAGGGGTGGATAAGTGTGGATCAGCCTGTGCTGATCAGGGTTTGACGCCGTGTTAGTAGGAATTGTCCCAGCACCCAGAGCCCCAAAGCCAAACATGCAGAAAATCCTGAAGATCCCGTGCTCCCTCTCACAGATGGAAAGTGTCTTCAAATCTGGGACTGGCCTGATCTCTCTCTGCGTTTCATGCCACCATGCTTTCTCCTTGCAGGCAAGCGCTCCATCAACGTCACCGCCTTGACATCACCTGGGAACATTGGCCAGAGCGGCCTCCTGGGCTGCACCTTTGAGCCTGATATCTGGATGGGCAGCATAGTGATTCGGTGGGCAAAAGTTGGAGTGGCCGGATTGGTTCATGAGTTCAGAGGAGGGAAGGACCACCTGCAAGAGCAAGACGTGGTGTTTCAGGGCCGCACAGCCGTTTTTGCAGACCAGGTAATCGGTGGAAACGCTTCCCTGGAGCTGAGAGATGTGCAGCTGTCTGACGCTGGTACCTACAGGTGCTCCATCACCACATCCCGAGGGAGTGGAGCGGCAGTGCTGCGGTACCAGACGGGAGGTGAGAAAATGCTGTCTGGGGATATGGAAAAGAAACTCCCACATAGGAAACGTAGGATGATGTGGCCAGGTCTGGCCACTAGAACAGGTCTCCCAGAGGAAAAGCCACCCGGATGTTGTCCTGGGCACCCTACTCTGGGTGTTTCTGCTTGAGCAGGAGTTGGGCAAGGTGGACCCATCTGTCAGTCACCATGGAGCTCTTCACACCTGAGTAGGACAGTCTGATGGTGGTTGTGAGGATCTTTTCCCTGAGATGCTGTTTCAGTGAAACCAGACTTGGTGAAGGAATTACATGTGTTGAGAAGGGGGCAAAGCCCAGTGTCAGTGGCTGAGCTGAAAACTCCTTGTGAAGTCTGAGAATGTTATTTTTGTGAAAGGCCAAACTGGACTGTGTGGGTGTGCTGTTTCCTTTATTCCATGGCATGACAGAAACTGAAAGCTGACACAATTTTTTCCCAGCTCTATAAGTCCCAAAGTACATAAAGTGCTGCTTGGCTCTGCCAAGGCTTTTGATCATGCTCCAAACTGTCTGAGTATCCAGAGCTGGAAAAAATAATATGCATAAGAGGATAAGAAGTGAGTTTTTTGGCTTTCCAGAGGTGTTGATGACCTCACCCTCTCTTTCCATATCCTTGCTCCAGAGAAGGGAGGTTTCTATTTTAATACTTTTATTTTGTTTCTTACATTTGCCACATGCAGTTTACTAGCTAATCATCTGACTATGAAGAACCCCTATTTTTAGAACGTGTTTAGCTAAATGATCTCTGAAAGACCCAGATTTTATGCTTCTTAAAGATAAAAGTGTTTTTTTTTTTTTTCTCTCTCATACCTTAAGATATATCTCCAGCCAGAACTGCTGCATAGTAAAAATTCTAGTACGTTCAAAATCTTTATCCTGTTTTTATAGTTTATACACCTTTAAAACATGATTATCAAAGTAACAAACAACCTATCTCATAATTACCTGAAGCATTACATACTTGCTAGATTTAACCATTCACCTTGTTATGTAGGGGATCTTGCTTCTCTGGCTGGTTTTTAGCAGCACCTCTGAAGTTCCCACATGTGCCTTGAGCTCAGGGCTTGGCAGACAACAGTGGGTCAATGACTTCCCAGGGGAACTTTCTATGGCAGACAAGAGAACTGTTGGAAATCAGGGGAAAAAAGGCTTTCATGGCTCTACAAGTGTTGAAGAGTTGGTCCTCCAGATGTCGGGAAGTCACTTTACACACTTGGCTTAAGACAAACTTTGGAGAAGCAGCCACTTCTGAATGCTATACATCATTTCAGCAACCAGGAACCTATCTTGGGACAGAGTTGACATTGCAGAAATGGCTGGCCAATGTTGTTTTACACAGTACCTAGGTTCCTCACAAAAGCCTGCTTTCAACCTTGTTGCAGTGTGCAGCACTCTCCCAAGCAGTGGAGCAAGGCTCTTCGTCTCACAGACTCTGCTATCCTGCAGTTCCAAGAATCAAAGGATGGCTAATACTTACCCTTCCTTGAAAGGGAAATACAGTGAAGACACAGAGGTGTATTTTTCTAGTAGACCAAGGCAAACATGAAATGTTATTCATGTTTTTGGTTTTGAAACACAGCTGTGTTTGCAATAGGCTTTAAATGTCCATTCTGGGAGGGTTGGTGCAAGTCCCACAGCACTGGCCATCTAACCCCAGCCCCAGCAGATCCAAGTGGAGCTGCCCACGTCTGCAGTCCTGCTTAGCATAGAGCCACAGCATGGGGCTGTGTATGTTGGTCGTGCTCCTCCCTTCAACACTGGAGAGAGTGATCCATCATCCCTTCCCCCCAACCTATGATAACACCATCATTTTTGGCACTGAGAATAGATTCCTCTCAGCCCTAGAGCAGCCAGTGCGGCCACGCTCACTGCCATCCCTGCTGAAGAAGGCTGGATGTTTGGCAGACACAGGCAGCCTCAGCCTCCTGGGCTGTGTGTCCAGGACAAGCTCAGATGTAACAAGCAGAATTACTTAAACACACTAAAGTTGTACCACGACCTCAGCAGATCTTGTCAAACTGGAGTGCCTTGTTACAAGGAGACTTTGCTCCTCTCCAGACATCCCTCGTCAGCCCAGTTTGTAAGAAGTCTGCCTGAGCCCACGTTTTTTGGCCACATGCAGCACTGAGATGTGAGATGTGAGGAACAACTGGGATTGGCAAGCAAGTAGGGCCCAGTTCTCAGATGTTTTCCTTTCTGACTCTCCTTGCTTCCCTCCCCAAGCCTTCAGCATCCCCAGGGTCCATGTGCAGACCAGTAGCAGTGGGGACACATTGCACTGCGAAGCGCCGCGCTGGTTCCCTCAGCCCACCGTGCACTGGACAGCATACAGCAATGCTGGGAAGTGCCTGCCTCATGCTGCCGACACCAGCTATGAGCTGAACTCTGAGAATATCACTGTGAAAGTGGTTTCTTTCCTGCGCAACATTACAGCCAACGCCACATACACCTGTGTGATTGAAAACGGCATTGCCAAGGCTACAGGGAACATCAAAGTGACAGGTAGAAATCAACAGCACCCAGAGACCATGGGCACAGTTCAGTCAGTGCATGTGTGTGCGATGGGAGATCCGGCAGCACTGTCTCCTCTGTGCTGATGAGCCGTTTTGAGAAAGGAGGGGAAGGCAGGGACCCCTGCTTGCTTTCCTCTGCTGGATTCAAAATAGAAGAACATTATTTAGCATATTTGGTAGACGAGGTCCCGTGTGTGCTCAGTCCAGAGCAGAGGAGCTGAGGGGAGGCCTGATGGCGGCTGCAGCTCCTCACAGGGAGCGGAGGGGCAGCGCTGAGCTCTGCTCTGTGTGACAGCGACAGGGCCCGAGGGAACGGCATGGAGCTGTGTCAGGGGAGGGCAGATGGGGGACAGGGTCTGCACCACAGGGCAGTGGGCACGGCTCCGAGTGCTGGAGTGTGTTTGGACACAGCTCTCAGACATAGGGTTTGGATTTTGTATGGTACTGTGTGGAGCCAGCAGCTGGACTCGATGATCCCTGTGGGTCCCTTCCAACTGGAGATATTCTATGGTTTTTCGATATTTGCCAGTATTCACTTTTCTCAATTAGCAGACCCCCAGTCCTGTCCGACTGAGGCTGTAGATTGCATGAAATCTGGCACTAATCCAGGCTCCCCTCTCTCTCTGAGGTAATGGAATTAACCTGTGTTGTGTTCTGGTATTTCAGTCCTTCCTCGTGGTTAATGATTCCTCCTTTGACACAGGGACAGAAATGCCAGGGGTGGACACAGTTTACAGAAACATATTCCTTTGTATCTTAACAACAAAAGCAACAAAACAAACAAACAAAAAACCACGACCAAAACACTGAAACCTCAAACCAAAACCTCCAACTTTTGACTCTTTCTTCAGCCACTTCAGCTTAGATAACTGCATTTGTAACAAACCAGCTGGCCTTTAGCTGTTCCTAGTATCAGCATCTCTGACTCCAGCTCATTCCCTTTATTTAGAAGTACTTATTCACAGCAAAGCAAACTTTCAAAAAAAAACCTCAGCTGGAATTTGTGATGTTCTATCTTCTTCACTCATATCTGAAGCACTAATAGTAACACAATCTATGATTTGGCAAATGAATTACAGCTTTCAAACTAGTTCAGGTATGTGTGCACAACGCTATTATCACCATAACACCAGGTTTTCATTTTTCCTGGTGTTAGACTCATTCATTGGTTGAGTTCTTACAAAATAAATAAATAAACAAACAAATAAATTATACATATCAGTGCTTCTCTAGAAACATTGAGTTAGGCTTCACAATCCTATCCAATTAAGTTAATGACCAACCACTGCCACCTCTGTGTGTACATTAAAAGAAGTGGTCTTAGTATATTAGGAATACCTGTGTTTTTAAAGCAGTGCATGTACTCATCAGTAAGCTGCATGCAATACTTGAGAGCCCAGAGCTTAGTTTGAAAGGAAATGTAGCAGGATTTAAGAATGTCATTCAGTTGTCATCTATACTATCCTAAAATCTAGAATCTATTATTTTAGGACAAACTTGTGTTGGCAACACTTGACACAGCATGGAGAAGAGTTGTAGTACCACTCAGATTGACAGATGCTTAACTACTGGCAATCTTCTATTGCAAATAAGACTAAAAACATATATTTCCAAGCTGAGTATGTAGGCTTTGTGCTTTTATTTTCAGTTAGATGTCTCAATCATTCTGAAGAGGAACACTGTACAGAAGGGAACTCATTGGATACTTGACTTCAGCTCTGATATGTCAGGCTAATAGATGTCACAGAACCCTTTTTTTTTTTTCTTTTTTTTTTCCCATTTATTTTCTCACTCATCCCTATCCTCCCTAATTCAGAAACCATTCAGGATCTTGCTCCTGTAAGACTAGTATACACAATCAGTTTTCAGAATCATTGAATAGTACAGAACATCCCCAGTTGGAAGGGATCCATAAGGATCACTGAGTCCAACACCTGGCTCTACCCAGTCACCCAAAACTCAAACCTTTTGTCTGAGAGCACTGTCCAAACACTCCTTGAACTTGGCTATTATTTTGTGTTCTACATGGAAAGGGTCATAGCTTTTCTGCAGTGAGAGCTTCATTACAGTGCATTCCAGCAAGAGGTAGGGTCTATCAGCATTCAGAAAAACTAGGAGCAATAGATATACCCACGAATTTTGCTTTTTTTTGCTGTGTTCTCCTATCTGGTAGCCTCCTCTCACTATTCATCCACTACAGATTTCAACATTACAAGGGAGACCAGCTTGCACATGGTGAACCTGAACACGGAGTCAGTGTCTTCCTCCCTTCCAGCCTGTCATTGGATGCTCCTGCTTCCCATGTGTCTGCTGTCACTATAGAACATCTGGAAACGCTGTTGGACGAGGAGGTAAGCTTCAAAAGAGAAACTGATAAGCATACACCCTATATAGAGGCTATGAATCTCTAATACAGTTCACTTCTGCAAGGCCATGTTGACATCTTCCTCTACCCCCTGAGAAGTAGCACAAGCCATGCTTGCACTCACTTTACTCAGATAATCCTACTGCAGTGCGTGGTACCTTCAGTAAACGCTACCTACTGGGCACACCTTGAACAGGGCTATGAGGAGCTGCCAGCCTGAGCAATCCTACCTAGATTGAGGAGTGCTGGGGCCATCACAAAGCGTAACAGCCTGCAGGATTCATCAGTTTTGGATGTGGGGCTCGAGAGGTAAATTGATGATGGAGAGCCACCAAAAAAATTTAAAAAATAAATCAGCTAAAATGAACACTTCTGTCCTTCCACGCAGAACAGTCACTACCGATACAGATAGATGGCAGGGCATACTTCGTGCTCTCCTCCTTCTTGAGCTGAGAGGCAGGCAGTGCCACAAAATGAAGCCAGTTATTCCTTTGTATTTCTTGTCCCTGCCAACAACAGGATATTTTGATTTCAGAAAGAAATTAATTGTGGCAGCACAGATGATTAAATAATGAGGAGGAAAAGAGGGAGATTAGCACTACTGGAAAGTTCCAATTCAGAATTAAACCCAGTTCTTCAACAGTTTCAACTACACAGGAAAAATCTGCCTTATTGTTTTTAAATAAGTCTCTTATCTGGAACTTCCTACCTACTGCTATAGTATTGTCTGTAACAGGCTAACTCATTTCCCAGGATACTTTCAGTGATGCTTTCTAATCAGATTTTGATTTGTTCATCTTAGGTCAACGTTTCTTTAGGATGAGAAGATTTTCTTTTTTTTTTTTTCTTTTTTTTTTTTTTTTCTTTTTTTTTTTCCTTGGGAAGATGGGCAAGCTTCAGCAAAACCTTTACCTTTTCTGAGAAAGCACCCACTGGAAAAAAAGGCCACTGGGGCAAAACTCAAAGATCTTTCCTTTCTTCTTTTTGTGATTAGGATGGAGTCTCATAACATTATTGAGCAGCAGCATTTGTCAGGTCCTGGGAACTCATGCTTTGGTCTAGAAGTGGCGAGCAGGCCTTGAGATTGAAGATACTTTCCACGCGCTCAGTAAAAGCATCAACTGAAAATTAGTATAAGGCTCAAACTAAGGGGGAAGGGGAAACGACAGGAGGAAACAATGAGCAAACAAAACACCAAATTCTATTTGAGGAGCTGCTCAAATAGGCACTATGCACTGAGTAAGGTGGGGAAGTTATTCTGGGTTGAATTAATTAACCTATAGCACAAGGTGAAGGATGTGGATGTTATTTTGCAAGTACAGAACACTCAGTTATTGCTGCAAGCAGATGGAAGTGGAATCTCTTCAAATGGCATTGTGCCAGTGAGGCTGCTGTGCCACTAGAGATATAGGCACATAGCATTACATTTTCCCCAACTTACTAATCAGCAGTAGATGGACAAGCCTGGAGTGTACTGTGAACTCGTATGATAGCTCTCTGCATTCCTCACTACGAGCCCCAAATAATGTTCAGGCTGCAATAATGTTTAAGCTGCAAAACAATGCTTGCATAGTACTGTTAGTGCCATGATTTAGTCTCCAAACAGTAACTTGTTTATTTCTCTTTTCTTCAAGGAAGGAAGTGCTTTAAAAACATTTTAATCATTTCAAACATGTTAAGGAGAATTTCCCCTAAGGACACTACACGCTTTTCCATGAAGACAGTGAATGAACTGCAAAATGCCAGTCTCTGACTCATAAATTAATCTACATTCTGACTCAGTTTTCCATATAGCAAGTAAAATGGTATTAAAATAGATATTGTTATTTAAACTGCAGTGTGATAGCCTTATTCACTAGATACTACCACATAAAAGCACATTATATGCCCTAGGCCCAGAGCAATGGCTACCATGTAGGAGATAAATGAACATTTCTTCCTTGAAGCATAGCCCGCAATGGCTAGTGGCAATGGTCCAGTTCAAGAATTCCATTAGTCATGGCAGCTTCTTGGTTACAGTCTTCATGTTGTGCTTACAGGCCTGCGCTCCCACTGGAAAGGAGGAAAGAGGGGAAAAAAAACCCTCCTAATTCCAGTAGACATTTCCATAATTCATTTCCCACTGGGGAAGATGTTAAGTAGTAGTTCCCACTTGACAGTGACCAGACATCCTCTTGATCCTCTCTCTGTTCAGACAACATAAGGCTTTTTGTCCTACTTCTTCCACATTCAGGCACAACAGGCTCTGTCGAGGTCTCACTTGTGACACAAACTCCACTTCACCGCACCGAAAATTTCTCACTTGCACTGGAACTGAAGGGGAAGGACACAACACGTAATTGCTCAGTACATGGCTCCTAAGTTCTAGCACACAAATGTAAAAGTTCTGGGGGAGGGAAAGCCTTGCAGCAATTGCTTGGCATCTCCTAAACCACAAAGGACAGGAAGATTAATAAATACAGGAGGAAACAGACATTTTACGTTGTGAATTGCTTTGGACAATGTGCTGCTCACACTGCTGCTGCACTGAGCTTTGTATCTTTTCTCACCATCAGCAACCTGGCCTTACAGCATTACACAATATCCCGAAGACAGTGTCAACAGCAGAGCATCTTTTGGTGAGCCTAACAAATCAGCCTCTGCATGCCTAGACCCACACCCACATGCTAGGTGTTAGCACAGGTGGCTTGAAGACAATGTCTCCTTAAATGAGTAACTGCACAGCTGTGGCAGCATGAGCTCAGACGTCAGTACCCATGAATTTAAAATCCTTCAGTGCTTCAATTTCTGTGGCCGTGGTGAGGATTTCCAGACCTATGCTTAATTCTACCTTCTGTCTTGTCTAAGGCCAATTCTGCCTGCTGTCTTGCCTAAGGCCAAAAGCCATTTTGTTTGTAAGTAACTCTGGCCTTCTAGGCCACAAGGGCACACTGCTGGCAAATGGCCAACCTGTTGTCCACCAGGACACCCAGGTACTTCTCTACAGAGCTCCTTTCCATGATGTCAGCACCTAGCATCTACTGATGCATGCTGTTTTTCCTCCCCAGGTGTAGGACTCTATATTTACCCTTGTTGAACCTCACCAAGTTCCTCTCTGCCCAACTCTCCAGCCTGATACCTTTAAATAATTACTATCCTGGCTAGATGATATATTTTCCACTTAAAACTTGAACAGAAGTATTCTGAGTTTGTCACCACAATACTAAGGATGATTCAATACTATTTTATATACTTTTGTGTAAAGTAAAAATAGTAAGTGTCACTTTATACAACAATATTAATATACTCTCACTGTATTTTTTGCATCCATGGCAATTCCTTGGAAATCCTCCAAAGTTCTTGTTTTGTGGGCAGAGAGGGCATTCCCCAGAATGGTGAAACAGCTTCTAGCTTCCTTCCCACACCCATTATTACAAAAGCCAACAGTTTGCTCACCAGGTTGCAGGACTTTGGAGGGCTTCCTGTCTAAGCTGAAATCCAGCAGAATAGGGCGACAGATGAGAGAACTCCTGCAGAGGTTCCTTAAGTAGCAAGCAATGGGATCCTCCAGTTCCTCCACACACTGGGGAAGGAGAAGGTGTGTTATCAGTATGTGTGTGGAGGGGAGCAGGGAGCCCCTAAAGCACCCACAGCAAAGGGAAATCCAATCCCACTGAGAGTCACACCCTGCATGCAGCAGTTCCTGCCTGAATAACCCACTCACCCCAGTCCCAGTAGCTTCCCCATACTGAATGAACAGGCTGCCTCTGCTCTGCACACAGCTTTGCACAGCTTCCCACTCGAGAAGGCTCAGGCCCAGCATTGCTGCCACGTGCTGGTTCCTGCACAACACCAAAGCTTCACCTGTTCCATCCTCCACCAGCACCCTATGGAGAGAGCAGGCAGATGAAGAAGTGGAGGGAGGTCAGGACAACACCCTGCACCTTCACAAACATCACATCCCAGACTACAAGTCCCAGTAAAGAGGTTTGTCTACATCTGGGAAGACATGAGGAATCTCAACTCCTATCTTCAATATTCTGACCACATCCCATCCACAACTGGCCTATCCCCTCCTGTGTCACACAATTTGTTCCCTCCTACCCACCTCTTCCCATATCCAGCCTCTACAGTGCTTACCGTGCACTGGCTTGCCTCACTCCAGTGTGTGATGGACATGGTGGACTGTGTCGGGTGCACTTCCCCTGAAGGAAGAGTAAAGCTACAGCTATGTATGGGTGGCTACAAGAGAGAAGGTGAATGGCCACTGTTTCTTTTAATTCCCCTAACTATGCAAAGGAATAAAGAACTTCACTGTATTTTCAGTGGGTGCCTTGAGAAAAGTTTTTGTTGAGAAGAAAAAACATACTGCAAGGTGATACACCTCAAGCGCAGTGCACAGTGCAGAGCAGGATTCTCCCCTGAAAGCCCTCACTTTACCCCTGCTCCTCGCTGCAAACCTGCCTGATACCAGATGCATACTTCTCATCAGTTGTCATTTTGATCCTTTTCCAATATGCAAGTCTTTTTCAGACACTACAATAAAGGATTCTAGGATTAGACAGGAACTTATTTCTTCTACATGGTAGCATAAGATATATGAGTAGAAAGTCTGCAGGCCTCCTGCCAGATTCTCTCTGGAAGCTTCCATACCTCTTTGAAGATGCTGCTGCAGAGAGAGCAAACCCACTGCAGGGATAGGGTCAACACACAGGACACGTGGCACAAAATCCGTGCCTGGGGCAGGGTTTGTAGGTGACATTGCAAGTTGGATATAAACACCAGCGAAGGGGATGAGGCTCTTCCTGCACAACTAGAAGAAACAGGACTATGGGAAACTTGGAACAGGGAAATCTTTCTCAGGACACTGAGAGGTGAGAACAGAACCTGGACTCACCTGGAGGTAAAAAGTTGGTGAGGAGCTGGGAGAGACAGGATGGTCACACAGCTGGAGGCAATGTATGCACAGTAAACATTATGGAATCTGCAATATGAGAGCATAGATGTCAGAAACAGCTCATAGAAAACAAACGACTTGGTTTTTTTTTGTTTTTTTTGTTTTTTTTTTCCCCAGGGTGGCTGGTCTGGTAATCTGACATGGTAGGAATGTCATTTGTAGTAAGGGTTGGGGACTTAGGCAGGTGTGGACAAGTGATAAACCCAAAGAAGAGTGGAGATCATTTCAAAGAAAGTAAGGGAGGTCAGATCCAGTCCAGGACCAGAGCAGGGCTCAGGGTACCTTGAGATTTTGCGTTCCAAGTTCTGAAAGAGGATCTTGGCTCCAGGTAGCAAACCCCTGAGATGCTGCAGATAGGTTGCAGCAATGTAAATGTCCAGCACAACAGGGGAGCCTGCAGCAGCTGAAATGCTGAGCTTCACGCTGTGATCACTGGCCAGCAGACTCCCTGCGAAAGCACAGAAAAACACACATCATGAGCTCAAACAGAGACAGCTTAGTCTGCCACTTAGCTGAATTTGCTGGAGGTGTTTTCCTCGCATCACAACAAGGCTACTGTTCCACCTCAAATGTTTTCCAGGTAGTCTTACCTTTCTGCTTTCTAAGGCTGAGAGTCGCAGATGGCTTCTCATTCTTAGGAGAAGCACACAGGGTCCTCTCTACTATCTCTCCAGAGAAAGAAACAAGGGAACCTCTGAAACTGAGAGCAGACCAGAATCGTTGGATTTCTGTCTTGGAAGACGAAGGGAGTGGAAAAAATCCTGATCCAGAGATCGCAACAACAAGGGACAGGGTGAAGAGAAGTGCTGTTACTTAAGTCTGGCTCCAGGGGAGCTTTCCCTTGGGCACCCCACTACTATATTTAGAGCAGCTTGCTGTAGCCTCCCTACCCAAGAATGAGAGGTCTCTGAAGTCACTTCTGCTTTTCCAGGCATGGGAGAATTAAAAAGGAGAGACATCCTAGCTTACCCTTCTGTTTAACTCCATTATTTTTCTTAGAAGAAGCCAAGCAGGGGAAAACTCAACTTACCATAAGGCACTGGTGAATATTTCAGTGCATGTGCAGATTAAACGTGCTTTGAAAAGAAAAGCTTCTTACCTCTTTACTTAAGCAAGTTAAGCAAGTTAAACAAACAAAAAACCCAAACCCCCCAAACTTCACACATTTACCCCCATTTTCCCTGCTGCACCTGTTTTTACTTTTGACAAGAATTTAGCATAGGTTTTTGGCACCTACTCCACACCAGCAGTTAGCTCACATTTTTTCTGGACACCATTTTGCAGCTTTGTAACCTGCAACCCCTTTAAGCTTTGATAAAGAAGATAGGTTCACAGCCTGAGCTATCTGCACACAAAAATGTTTCCAAACAATAACTTTAAAGCAGCAAATTCATTATTCATTAATTATTCCATTTATTAACATTGTGCTGTCTCCAATAATGACCAACACTACCTCATTCCCTAAGGCAGTCACATCAAATATAGGGCAGACTAACAAACCTGTTGCTAAGTATTTCTGGAATGGAGGAAATTCTCTGGTCCATGCCTGTCAGCACTGCCCTGGCTGTCAGCTGGAAATGAGAGAGACACAGACTTGGTTTCAATTTATAGCAGCCAAAACAGTAGAGAGAAGTTTTGCATGCTTAGAGTTACTTTACATCAAACAACTGACGGTTCCTCCTCAGATTAATTCCAAGACAAGAAAATACGAGGCCCAGCAATAATCTTTTATGGGGCTCCTGTCTCATTAACAAGAGATTCTGTATCAACAATTTTCTGAGCTAGTTCTGGAGAGAACAGGAAGTCAGCCATGAAAGCCCAGAAAGTAAAGTTGCTGCAGTACCTGGCACTCAGTTGGGAAGGAAAGCCATGTCTCATGCTGTAAGTGCCAGTTATCTTGGACAGGCAGGCATAAAGGGCAGGATGGCCTGCCTAGGAACTCTGCTGGCACAGGTGGAAAACTGAGCTTGTCAAACACTTCCAAGTCCTGAAAGAAGATTCATAATGCAAAGAAAATTATTATCAAAGGAAGATGAAAGCAAAAGAGGACTGATAAGGGACAATAACTTAAAGAAAAAAAAAATCTACTGAACTCAAGGCTTTGAGAGTTTTAACTAAACACAGAACTGAGGCAGTTACTTGGCAAGACAGATGGGAATTCAACACCTTGCAAAGAGCTTAGATACTGACACTTCATCTCCCATATACAATTTAGCAAAACTCTCCCTTACCGAGCAGTGGGGCACAATGAAGCGATATAACCCATCCAGATGCAGAAATGGAAACCATTGCAATGACTTCCCCATAAAAAGCAGTAGTGCCTGGTGGGAGATGGGGAGAAAAAAAGTGATGAGAAATGTTAGGAAAAAAAGTGAAAAATGAAAAGCACAGCAAAACTGGAGCAAGTCCAGCAGATGACTGACCAGTAAACTTGGCACCATCAAGGACAAGGTGAGGTGAATATATTTACAGAATATTGATGGTGAGGAGATTGAACCCCCTTGCAGTGGCAGAAGGAAGTTACCTGCATAAACATACTCTTCTACCCGACAAAAATCACCCTCACATTGATTAGAAATCTAGATCTGTAAATTACCCAGCTGCCAGCTGTATCAAACCACCCACCGAAGCCCACTCCTGCCTCACCTCTTGCCGTGTCATGCCCTCTCCTCCATCATGGCTGGCCTCCTCTAGCTCAGGCAGACTCCTGGTCTCTCTGGGGTGACTCCACAGCTGAGGTCTCCCCAGCCATAGCACTGTGGCTTGAAAACTGCGCTGTGGCTCTTGTTCTTCTCCACCTCCTTCTCTGAGTAGCTGGTAGTTGCGCAACATAAGCCCCTCTTTCTGGGTAACCAAGAATAGGTGAGAAACACAGCCGGTTTTTCCAGTGCTGCTCTGACCCCTCTGACAGCCCTCATCTCCACCAGGATCTGGCTTGGGATTCTCCAATTTCAGCACTTTTGCCTCTGGGGTCTCCAGATCAGATGTCGAACTGCCATCATTCTTTTTCCTCAAAGAGGTGGTGTTGTTACTCCGAGGATCTTTCTGGATTTGTCCTTCCACAGAATGGAGAACCTGAACATCCTCAAAGTAGAACTGCACATAGATACTGAAATGACAAACGGTAGCAATGAAATCCCCTGCTCCTGACAGGTAGCTGTCTAAAACAAGCAACTATCTGGAAGTAAGTGCTCAGCGGGTACTCAAAAGAGAAGGGGTGAAATAGAGGGCAGCTACCAGGCTGGATGTATTCAGAACAAAATAGACATGGTGGATTTGTTTTTAATAAAGATCTTGTTCCTGTAACTAGCAAAGGACTTCAGCACCAAAATACTATGCCACTATGCAGTTTTACCATAATCCAATATAGCTGTGGAACTGCAAAGTAATGATTTTACTAGGGCACCGAATAAAGGAACCCACCTGGTTTTTTTCTCTCTCACATGCTCTGAATTTTCTAGCTGCTCCCAAGAGGGAAAATCACTCTGAATGAACCTCTCCACTACAAGCTGATAGTTCTCCACCTGCAAGAGTGATCCTGCAAACACAACAGAGAAAGGAGTTGAGCTAATGAAAGGAGAACATAAAAAGAGCAAGCTCAATTTCCTCATTTTAAAGTCATGAGGCCAGACAGTGACATTTCAACTTCTTCACACCTTTTCTTTCTTGTTTTGGAGCTGGATGGCAGAGCACATTTTCAGCACCTTCAGATTTAGTTCTGTGGCACATACCTATGAGAGCTGTATTGGCAAAGGGACTACCATCCCTATGGGAAATCACACAGGGAAGTGTGCCGCTGCTGTCCTGCAGCTGGAGGGAACTTCTCCTGGAAGAGACTCTCAGCACACCTAGTAGAATCTGCAAGAGAAAAGAAGACATAAAGAGTATCAAACACTTCCCATATTCAAAAGCTAGAAATCTGCGTGCATGGCAACAGCCCAAATTCAGGCTGTATTCAACACAACACAGGTGAGAAAATCAGCATCATACCCAAGCAAAAGGAACAGGCACCCATCAGAGTGGGCAAAAGACAGTGGCTGTGCTGGAAGACATTAGAAGAACTGGGAGCTCACAGGGTGCAGACAATAAAGAGAACTAGGCACTTACCAGCCGGGGCTGGAAACTTCCTGCTGAGAGTATGCAGTAGGACCAGGCCAGCCTGCGATTCAGCTCTTGGGTGCCCATGTGTTGTGCCTCCAAGGGGGAGAGCAACTGGGATGGACAGAAGCCTTCCCAGCCCTTCTGTTCTGCTACACGACCCAGTGTTGATAGAGATGGGACCTGGTATGGGGGATCCAGGGTCAAATACTAAGGGGAAAAAAAAGATAAATAGTTTCTTTCCATCAGATAAACTAAAAACAGCTCACAGTGCATTTACCTTCTGCAAGGGACAGTGGTGTATTTTTGCTAGAATTTCATGATAAATATCTCTTGTTTCCCTTCTGTCTGGTACCACAGCTTGCAGAACTGGGACAAGGAATTTCTCTGCAGGTCCAGGGTTTCGGTGTATAGAGCTAAGCAACAGTCGCTGGTGCCCAAAGAAACAAGAAAACCTGAAAAATTTAAAGCAGTTAGAAGCAGTAGCACTCCCAGCTTTAAACTGGGTTTCGCATGTAAGTCAGGATTTTTTTCTGCTTGTTACCAGTGAATGTGCTGTGCAGGACAAGAATTAAGGAGAGTGTAAAAAGAATGCAAAGTGGTTAAAAAAGGAACATTTAAAGGTGATGCACTTTGATGTCAGGCAAGCAGACGAGGAACAAAAAGCCATGAGAAATAGACAGACTGGCAACATCTCAAGACTCAAATGGACAAAAAACCCACATAAAGAAAATCTCCTTGTTAGTTACACAAATGGATCTTCATGCATTTTAACTAAACTTGATACGTTTATTCATGTTAGGTATACTCGGTTTTCTTTCACAGGATGCAAAAGTCACAAGACAGAACAAAATAACCACAGATTGCTCTTGTTCTGATATTTTCTTTGCTTTTGGATCCTTTCAGAAGGATACCTCATCACTCTGAACACCCACAAGTGATCACACTGCCAATCAAAATAGTTTTAATAACAAAAGATGAAATCAAGTAAAAAGAAATAGTGACTAAATCACTGGAACAACTTTCAGGCAGTGGCAGGACTTCGTAATCACATTTAAAGCAAGTGGAAAACGTGATAAAAAAATGAAACTGATAGCTAGCAATGTTCTGGGAACAGAACGAAAGTTGTTCTATTGGAAAGCATGGCAAAAATTCCACAGACATAAGCATGTGTGGGAAGATCTACTACAGCAAAGTTTCTCCAACAAGTGCTCACGTTATTGATAATACCGAGCAGTTGCTGCTGCTCTTGTGAGGAGCTAGGAAATAAGAGTCTTTGTATCATCTGTGATCTGGTTGTAGAAGCAGTTTCCAGCTTCATCCTCAGTGCTCAAGTTCATTTGTCAAGCAAATCAGATTGGAAGGCACTCATCCTTACAGTGCTTCCATATTCCAAAACAAAGCTTCATAGGTGGGGACAGATCAGCACATGCTCTGGAGTGCTGCAGCTTACAGAAAGCAGTGGGCTTACTGTACATGCATTTGAAAAATATACATGAGTTCTTCATTAGAAGAACTACAAGGTACAAGCTTCATTAGATGTAGAATCCAGATAAACAGCTTAAGCCAGTAAACCAGACAATTGCTGCTGCCATTAGTCTCTAAGCACATAAGCTCTATGAACTTGGAAGATGCTCAGGTAGCTTACAAAGCACATCTGCACAACATCTGACTTAAGAATTGTCCTTACCTCTCCTTAAACGTTTCCAGAAGGCTCACCAGCCAGAGGTAGAGTGGCATACCAAGATTATAGCGGAAGAGCAGCTGTAGGTAGAGATTTCTTGAAGTGACTGGTGGGTGGTAAGGAGTGCTGAGCCTTGAAAAACTCCTCAGCAAGACAGTGCTGTTCAAGCAAGCACCAAGTACAATGAAAGGAGAGGATACCAAAGGCTTCTGTAGGAGGTGGACATCGATGAGCTGAGATAAAACAGACATTGCCACTTAATGGATAAGTATAGTTTGCCTCTGCTCTCCCAAACCATCACCTCACTCTAAATCCTTTTTCACTCTACTGGATGGTCTGTGAACTCAGTAGACCTGAAAGACCTGGCACCGCTTAAGGAGGAATCAAATAATTAGCATTTCAACTTTCATGACCAAGTTTGTTAAGTAAAATCCCTGATTTTGTTTCAGGAACTTGTTGAAAAACTTCCAGTGTTCCTGTAGCTTTTTGTTGACCCACACACACTTGCAAGCCATCCCTGGGGGCATAAGTATTTTTCACTGAATACTTTAACTTTTGGTAGCAGGGAGGTTCCAGGGGTGGCCTCTGTGAGAAAAACCCAGCAGCCACCTCAAGTCAGGTAACTGCCAGCTCCAGTTGGCTCCAAAAATGACCCACTGCTGGCCAGAGCTGAGTCATGAGCAATGCTGAGTGTGAAAAGAAAAAATGTTGCACGGCAATGGCTGGGGAAAGGTGTGAGAAAATGTGAGAGAAACAGCCCTGAAGACACCCAGGTTTTTGCAGGAGGGCAGAAGGTGCTACAGGAGCAGAGCAGAATTCTTCTGCAGCCTGAGGAGAGACCCACGGTGGAGCAGGCTATCCCCCTGCAGCCTACAGGCACCGTGCAGAGCAAATCTCCATGTGCAGCCTATGGAAAAACCCACAGTGTAGCAGTGGATGTGGCCTGAAGGAGGCCACAGCCTATGGAGAGCCCCCACAAAAACAGCGTTTCAAGAACTGCTGCCCTTAAGAAGTATTCCAAGCTACAGCAGAGGAAAAGTGTGAGAAGGCAGAGACAAAAGTGTTATTTCCTATCCTCCTGTACAACTCAGGGGTAGGGACTGAAGGAAGAAGAGGCAGAAGAGTCAGGAGCAATAGAGTGAAGTTGAGTCTGGGAAGAACAGAGGAAAGGTAGGTGGTCTGTGTTTCGTTTTTCTTTCTCAGTGTCTTACTCTATTCTTCACTAGCAATAAACTTTGAGTTTGTTCTGCCTGTGATGATGAGTGATCTCCCTCTCAACCCAAAAGCTTTTTTTCCCCCATATTATCTAATTCCTCTGTCTGCCTTAAGAGAAGTAATAGCCAGTCTGGTTGATGGTTGACCAAGATCAACCCCACTGTACTTCGTAAGTCTCCCAACTTTACCTCCACACATGCTCCTGGTCTGATTCCACGTGCAGAGTTCAACAACTGCTGGTAAGCAAGGCACAAGCAGACTTTGTTATCGAGCTCATAGAGACCAGCTTGGGCATTGAGTATTTTGGTGACAGTTCCCTACATAAAAAGTGAACAGAAAGTTATGTGAGTTTATTCCAGAATGTAAGAGACTCATAGACCTGAGCGAAAAGGGAATAAATTCATCATGACAATGAAATCTTGCTAGACCTTGAGTAGGTAAAAGCTAATGCTACGAATCCTTACCACATATGAGATGATCTTGGACTCTTTGATTGATCCTGGCCACTCTTCAGCGCTCAGCTCTGAGGAGTCATTGAAATGCTCTGTGGTCTCAAGTGAAGCTGACAGAGAGGATTCTCCTTGCCAAGAACTGTCCAATGCTAGCTCCTTTACCTTCTCTGCACAGTAAGGCAGAAGGCAGGAAGAAACACTGGTGACAAACATCCTTTGCCCAGATTTCTTCAGGCTGGATATACTCAGGCCTGTTATTGTGTACCTGTGGCCCAACTGGAGGGTATGGTGCCATGCCAGCTGGTTGGACTTCTGGAGCAGAGAGACCAAAAGTGACATCAGCATCTCTTCCACTGGAAAAATATTCTTCCCACATGAAAAACTTTCCTTCTGAGAGGATCACCTGATCCTTTTAGCAAAGGAGTAGTATCTACAAGATGTTCAGGGGCACTGCAATTGTAGTAGGGAGGAAGGTTGTATTTCTTTTAAAGGAAATACCAATAGACTTATCTATGAGGGCTGCTCTGAAAGTAATGCCTTCTATTTTATTATGTTGGCCCACAATGTCAGAGAAGGCTGAGCCTTGTCACCAACATTCTGTTACACGTTGTTGCTGTGCGACAGATGGCAGCAGAGGGGCTGTCTGACAGAATGGAGTCTGACAGAAATGCGTATGAAGCAAAAGTTGTGTCAGTGAATTCTTCCATATGGAAAAATGGCCCCCACTGACATTCATTGATGCTTGCTGGACAGAACAAACAGCAGATGTGAGCACAGTAAGGCAGTGGGTGGTGTGTTTCAGCAGCAGTGATGGCAACAGTGGGTCACCTCTGCTGGTGCAGGGGCAGTATGCAGGCTCTTGTTCATACTGGCTAAAATGCACAGCTAATGGTGGTGACTACGCTGAAAGAGTGTTTTGTAGCTAAGAACTAATTCAAACAGTATTATTGTACTCTCTATATCTGCAGTTGTTTCCAAGGAAATAAATAGGAGGCATTACTTTTGAAGTGATCTATGCATAAGGATTATTGTAGGCTGTGTGAAATTAAAAAAAATAATATATAGCGTCAGTAGTTTTTACTAGGACAAATAAATCACACTGAAAGGAAAAGGCCAAGCTTTGAAAAGTGGATTAACCAACACATATGCAAATATAGATGGCAAATTTTGGGGCAAAATTACAAGGACTTACTTACCTTCACCAGGACAGGGATTGAAACAACTGAGGTGAAGCACTTCAGAAATAGAAAGAAGAATGTCTTCTGGTGGATACAAAGGAGAGGGCTGAGTCTGGACAATTCACCTGCCACACTGAGCTTAGATCTTTTCTTACAAGGAATCCTAGAAGGCAATTAAGGAAGCAAAGAAAAACCAGGACTCAGAAGTATCCCAAAAACAAGATACACAAATATGTAGAATGCACTTTCTAGAAATAATGGATCTAACAAAGTAATGCTAATCATCTGTCAGAGAGTTTTTCAAAACAAACTTGCCAACAAAATTATTACTTCAATTTTTATATGCTAAATCACTTCAACACTTTAAAAAACCTTAATATTTGAAGACAACAGAGCTGTTACAAAGATTCATGTTCCAAGACGAGAGTCAGATTATAAAAACCTCTACTGCAAACAAGAAGCTAATCATAGGTCCAAATGGGGGATAAAAAAGTCACAAGCAATTCTTCAGCAGAAACCTGAACTCAGTTTTTGCAGGTCCATACCAGTGATATGTATTAGTTTCATATTGAAAAGTAACTCTAGATTCTAATAATAATTCTGTTTCACTATAAGTTAAAAAAAAATTAAGAAAAAAAGCGGTGCTAATCAAAATAGTGAACTGTAGGTTCAGTGAAAGTTCTTCTGAATGTTTTCTTCTCATGCTTTTTCTATAGTATCAAAATATACCAGGAAATAATTTCTCTTATTCTTGCAAATTACAGATTAAAATTTCAAGTCAACTCCTGGAAAATAGTTTATTAATGAAAAGTAGCATTATTATACAACTTTTACTTCCACCATTCACTGTTCTGCTTCCACCTATGGCAGAGGCTTAACATAGTGCTTCCTGAGCCAAATGTTCTTCACAATACCTGAGAACCAGAACAGCAGCACTACGATGCAGTTGGCCATGCTTTGTGTTTACCTGGAGACAAGGAGTGGCTCAGCCAACGCTGGGTAGATGACTGGAATGGTCTCAGACACTTCCTTTGGGAGGCAATTTACTGGCACTGGATCCACCAGGATTTCTATGTATCCTGCTGCACTGTGGTCAGTCTGTGGTATATATGCCCAGCTCGGGAAAAGGAACAGTGACTCCAGCCACTCCAGTTCAAAATGCAGCAGCTAAGGCAAAAGACAGTGAAAAAAAGCTTGAGATGAATTAAGTTACCTTTTCTCAGCATTATTTACAAAGTTAATCTACTAATTTGCCCTTGCACAAGCATCATAAATTCTTATTCTACTTCTGGGCTTCATTATTAAAGGAGAGCAATGTCTTCTGTCCAATTCTTTGTCTGGCACAGAGAACAACTGGCCTTCCAGACACAAATCTGGAGATTTGATGAGCTTTACACCTAGCATTTCCTGGATTACAGATATTCCTTTGCAATAAAGTTATAATTCACTGTAAGACTTCATTATTTCCAGACTATTTTTCTAGAATTCTCATCTCCTTTCTTTTCCCCTGTGTTTTCAGTTAGAAGTTGATACCAATACAACTAATGCACTTTTTCGCCTAGTCTTCACCTCCCTGGAGGGCACAACCTCACTGCTCTTTCATTCCTATTCTACCAGTTACTTTGCATTTACATTCTTTTCCTATGAATTTTAAGAACTTTTCATCCAATACCACTGTCACACAGGTATTATTTCCTGAAAGCATGTCATCAATGCATCAATGAACGACCAGTATATCCCTCCAGAAAGTTATTTATGCTCAACAAATACAGGATACAAACACAGGTATGAGCTCCATATCTCAGGCCACCTCATGCAGTTCAAGGTGTAACGGAACTATACATTAAATTTACTCATCTCTTTAATCCATGACAGTAGACTCGATATTTGCTCTCCTAGCAATGACAAATTTGACATGTTCTGTCTGTCCTTTCTCTGGGAAGAGAATCTGATCTGAATCTGCTGTTTTCCTGCTTTTTACAAAGATGTATTACTTTTCTCAGTACAGACTCTGGCAAACCATCTGAAATCTGTGGTGTTCTGCGATACTGCCCCAAAAGGGGAAATAAATACAGAATCCCTCAGGCCAAAAACATACCTCACACGGAATTATCCCAGTATTGTCTTTCACATAGAGACAACCATCTTTGTCCTCTTGCCTTCCATCGGTTAAATAGCCAACCAAGATCAGGTAAGCCCTTGGCAAAGAGCTGTGCATGGGTAAAGCACCTCGCCCTTGGTGAGCCCATTCTTTAAATCTGTTAGTGCTCCAGGCCAGGTGGCTGCAGCACGGAGTACGCTGTTGATGCTTTAGGTCAGAGATGGAGATGAAACTGGAGGGAAAGAAAAAAAAAGAAAGAAAAGGAAGAACACAGAAGGATGAACTCAGTCTGCAAAGTTGGGGGATTACAGTGATCAGTGCAATGGACAAAGCCTGGCTAAGTCAGCAGAGCCTCAGCTGCTGGCATGGTTTGGTATCATATGGCAAGAATCAACCCACCCACTGGCTTTTATTAAGAATCTCTCTCATCTCAGCTGATGTGTCAGTTCTGCCTTAACATCCCCTTTGAAAACAGAGACAGAAGGCTTGCTTAAAAATAATAACTGAGAGTTAACAAAAGAGAACATGTTTTCAAGAACACTAGTGCATACAGCCCTGAATCTTTCTGCCTAAATTCTTGGCGTTAGTGGAGTGGGAGAAATACTGTCAGATAACCACCACAATTGAGACTGATCCCAGCTATCATGCTTAGACTGACCACAGTACTGAATATGGGAGAACAAGACAGCATCCTCACAGGAGTCTAAGCTTTTCAGAGTTTATGCAATATAGTAGTATTCATCATCACTGTTTACATCCTGGCTGTCTATGCAAGAGAACAAAAGTCCTTTGTCTGCACTAAGGTCAAAGAGCTACTACAAACTGGTTTCCATCTTGTGATTTTGATAGTTGTTTGCACTGAGGTTAGCTGACAATTTTAGGTTGTGAAACAGTGGCTGTATTCACAACACCCACTTGCTCAGTAAAAGGAAATAATCTAACTCGGAGAATATGAATTTGAAGAATTTCACATGATTAGTCAGGTATCAAAGGTTCAAAGCCAGAAATGAATCTAGACAAGTGATGGGTCAGAATAAGCTATAAACTGTACTCACATAAAAAAAATAATCAGAAGAGATAAATATGTGCTGGTATTTGTGTATTTGACAGGAACCTGAACTGGAAATGGATTATCTGAAAAAGATATAAATAAACTGCTGCATCTTCAGCAACAGAGCAAATCTGGGATTAATACTGATGCCTATGATCTACAAGGAGAACACAGTGCCACCCCTGTTTCCATTATATATACTGATCATTTTCTGGGAGAAACCAAAACAACAGCAGTACACTGGATCCTGGTTGTTACATACAGCTAAATCCTGGACCCTACGATGCTCTAAAGCTTGACAGCTAGTTGTGGGCACAGCTTACTCACAAACAAACAGCCCACTGATCTCACACAAGCCAGGGGCTTTAACAGACATTCCCTCAACATGGGTTGGAGCTGGAGTGAAATTGATTCAAGTGTGCTGGACCTTCCAGTCTAAATCCCTCTCAGCATAATGAGGGCAGTGAGGTGCTAGCACAGGCTGCTCAAAGAATCACAGAATCACAGAATCGTTCAGGTTGAAAAAGACCTTCAAAATCATTGAGTCCAACCACAACCTAACCACACTACCCTAACCCTAACAACCCTCTGCTAAATCATGTCCCTGAGCACCACATCCAAATGCATTTTAAACACATCCAGGGATAGTGACTCAACCAGCTCCATGGGGAGCCTATTCCAGTGCTTAACAACCCTTTCTGTAAAGTTTTTCCTGATATCCAACCTAAACTTCCCCTGGTGCAACCTGAGGCCATTTCCCCTTGTCCTGTCACTGTCACCAGTGAGAAGAGACCAACCCTGCTCATGCTGTCAACACCTTTCAGGTATTTGAAGAGAGCAATTAGGTCTCTCCTCAGTCTCCTTTTCCCCAGACTGAACAGCCCCAGTTCCTTCAGTCTCTAAGAAAGAGAAGCTACGGATGCCCCATCCCTGGAGGCATTCACAGCCAGGTTGGATGGAGCCCTGGGCAGCCTGAACTGGTGGCTGGCAGCCCTGCCTGTGGCAGACGGGTTGAAATTGAATGGGCCTTGAGGTCTCTTCCAACCCAAGCCATCCTATGACTATAAGCTGAACATTTTCATGACGGTAAGCACCCTAAAGCCCTTCACCATTTAAAGCCAGGACACCTCCTATCCTGGATTGCTCATTTGTGAGAGCCCACTCTCGAGGGCGACCCTCACCTGGCTGAGCTGGAAGAGGCCGAGCCCGAGCAGCCCGGTAGGATCGAGCCCTGCAGCGCAGCAGCCGCGTCCCGGCGAGGTGCCCCACTTTGCCAGCACCCCAGCCTGCCGCAGACTGGCGGATGCGCCGTTCAGTCATACCGCAAGCGCCACGGGGGCGCGGCAAAGCCTAGGCGAGGCGTGCGGTTACCAGCCCTCAACACCCCTCCCACAGCCGGCATCCGGAGAGGCCTCAGCTCAGCAGCGGGACCCCAGCTCCGCTCCAGCCCCCCCGGCCCCGTACGGCAGCGCGACGGCCCTCCGATTGCGGGCTCCGCGCATGCGTGACGGCCCGTCCACCTTACCTGTAGCCCAGCGGCAGGTCCCCGCCGCCCGCGCTCCTCACGCACCTCAGCACCGCGTCCAGTGGCGGCAGCTCCGGCCCGCCAGGCCCAGGGCTGGCTGAAAGCGCTCGAAGGGCAAAATCCCGAGCCGTCTGCAGCCACCGCTGCTCCTAAGGAGAAGCAGAGACACGGGGCTTCAGCGCGGGGAGGCGAAGGAAAGCGGGCCCGCAACCCGCGGGGCACTCACCGCCGCGCTGGGCTCCGCCATGACAGCGTCGCCACAGCAACACGCCGGGCCGCGCGCCCGCCGGTCTCCGCCCCCTCTCTCCTTCTGGCCAATCACCGCCGCCCTCGTGACGCTGCCTGCCCGCCCCCCGCTCCTCCCCTGAGGGAGGTGGGCTCGGGGAAGGCCGCTGTGAGGGAGGGGTGGGACGGCTTGGTTCGGTGTGGAAAAGCTAGGAAAGGGTGTGCGGTGATGCGCTTGGAGTTACCGCAAATGTCAAACGTGCTGCGAGCCGTGTGGCTACTCTTCTCTATCCGAGCTCCTGGAAGTGCCAAATGTGGGGGGTTGTGGGGATTTCTCTGCCGCTCGTGCAGTTCTCAAGAAGTGCCTCTCCTCCCCTCTACTCCTCTCCCCTTTTTCTTTTCTTTAAGGCTGAAGCTCTGTGCAGACTGAGTTCCGTTCGCTCACGTGACAGTCTGAGATAAACTTGAAAAAATTCTGTGAGATCTGTCACTTTCTCCTGTGGTTGTGTTCCATCAGTGCGCGAATATTTTTCCCTTTAGGACCTGTTCTGTATTGCTCTTGCTCAAGGCAAGGACGCAAACCAGACCAAACCTGCTAAGCCTCTTCCTCGCCATCCCGGAGATGGTCGCTGCCTGGCTTCAAGCTGCCTGGCTGTTGGCAGCCTTGCTGGAACCCTCTTGCGGAGCAGTCAGAGCTGCCCCGGGTGTGGAAGTGCTGTGTGGCTGCACAGCTCTGGTGGCTTTGTCTGGTGCATATCCCACTGCTGGCTCCTGTACTGTAGATAAGCAAGCCCAGAGCAAAAGCAGGAACAGAAATACGTGGCTTCGTCTGAAACAGTTCCTGGAAGGCTTAGTGTGGGTTGTGTGCAGGTTTTTGGGCTTACACACACAAAATGGGAATATCCTTCCAAAACAAAGCAAAGCAGGTCAACTTCAGGCTGCAGCACAGAGATAACTGCAAAGTGTTCCTTGTCAGGAGCACTCCCTGTGGCAGGCTGTCCTCCCTTCCTGATAAATCATACACAGCTGTTCCCACATGTGAACCTTCCTTTCCATTACACAAAACAATCAACAGACATAATATATATGAGGGCTGCTCTGAAAGTAACACCTCCTATTTTATTATGTTGGCCCAGGGTTTCACACAGAGGTGGTGTCACATTAGAACAGGTTGCCCAAGGAGGTTGTGGATGCCCCATCCCTGGAGGCATTCAAGGCCAGGCTGGATGTGGCTCTGGGCAGCCTGGTCTGGTGGTTGGCGACCCTGCACATAGCAGGGGGGTTGAAACTGGATGATCATTGTGGTCCTTTTCAACCCAGGCCATTCTATGATTCTATGATTATGATGTTGTTGGGAAGGTTTCTGCTCCAATAGATTTGCTCAGTTATCTTTATCCCAAAAAGAGACAGAGGAGAGTCTTCAGCTTTCTTTATTCGAATAAAGGGAGAGTCCACCGGGGCATACTACTGTAGGGCCTCTTTTTTGGGAATGCAGCCCCTCTCTTATCCCTATACCCCGATGCTAGTGAGCCCTTTCCCCACTGGCTAAGGTACTCACAGTTCACATTCTTCCCATTCTGCGTATCATGCTCTCATCCCCTCCCACTTGGTATCTCCTCTTTGTTTCCTTTGTTCATACATTGTAATCAATTTAGAGTTTGCTGCTTTGGTCAACTAGAGTTATCTTCGTATCCCATTTGACAAAGTCCACCCCCCTGCCCAGTCAAGCAGGCAAGATTTACAAGTAGTTGAAAAAGCCTATCTCACTTTGTCCTATCAAGCAAGCAGAATTTGCTAGTTGCCAAGCTAGCGTCTCCTGCTATATATCTGCAAGATACATTTTATTTTAAGCAATTCTTCTTCTTGGGTTTTATTTTGCAAGGACATTTTATCTTTTCTTCTTTTGTCTCAACGTCAGAGGCAGATGTTGGTGGTATGGTAGTAGAGGTATACCTACTAGTAGGTTGCATCTTCCCACCAATATTTGGCTCCATGTTGTTGCTGGGCAACAGATGGCAGTAGAGGGGCAGTCTGACAGAATGGGATCTGACATGGAACTGTGTATGAAGCAAAGCTGTGGAATTGAATTCCTCCATGCGGGAAAAATGTCAGCCTTTCACAGATGCTTGCTGAACGTTTCTGGAGACCAAACAGTGAATGCAAGCATAACGAAGTGGTGAGTGATGTGCTTCAGCAGTGGTGACAGCGATGCGAAAGACAATCCATGTTCTGGATGACCATGCACAGCTGCCACGCCACGAAATGAAAAGCATCTTGATCAGCTCATCTGCACATAATTGGTTAATGGCGGTGACTGCGTTGAGAAGTAGTGTTTTTCACTAAGAATTTGCTCTACCAAGTAGCGTTATGGTGCTTTATCTGTTGTAGTTTCCATGTAAATAAATAGGAAGCATCACTTTCAGACTGACCCATGTCTATATAAACGGCCTGCCCCCACAGGTAGGAGGTCAGGTACCTGTAGTGCACAGTGTATAAAGAGTTACACCTGGAGCCGAAATAACTCAGGACTTAATGGGCAGCAGATAAAGGTGAGTTCTGGATGATTAAGCCACTTCTCAGAGTACACTGTTACATGCTGCCTTTAGAAGTAAATACTGAATGAAGCAGAGCTCATCCCAAACATTGCACACACTGACTTGCCTTACAAAAACTTGCAGCTGGTTCACTGATACGTATGGGAAATGTATGTTTTACCAAAAAAAGTACATATATTCTCAAAATATATGCCAGTTTGGGCTGACCAAGAAATCTTAAAAAGAAAACAAACAAACAAATGTGTTTACAAAGCAGTTGAAATGCCAAGTTACTGCCTTACAGCTGAGTGGTTCAGTTTTCCATGGGTTTGTACCAGAAGAACAGCAAGGCCACATGCAAGGAAATGTAAGATTGCAAGCTTCATCCTGCTCCAATTCCGTGTATTCATTGTTTCAATCACACGATACTACCCATTACTTTCCTCCGCGTTGCCTACTTCAGGGAAAACGGGCACTGACAGATAACTTTTTGCCAGAAAGCGGCAAGATCCGCCGTGTGAGATCGTCACCGCTCAGTTCAGCTCCGCAGCTCTGCGCTCAGTGTGCGGTGAAGCCTTCGTTCTTCGCGACCCGTGCTGGAAGCGGCGCCGCCCCGGCACCCGGCAGCCGCCTTCGGATCCGCGCCCGTCCCGCGCGGGGGCGGGCGGGGAGCTCGGTGTCTCGCCGCCCTCTTTCCTGCCGCCTAGCTGCCGCTGCCGCTGCCGCCGCTGCCGGCAGGAAGTTGGAGACGGGCTGGTTTCGCTCCGCGCCGCTCCGACCAGGGCTGGGCTGCGTCGCCGGCTTCTCTGCGCGCCGGGACCCCGCCATGGGGACGTAGCGGGGAGCGGAGCCATGCGCGGACTGGCGCTGCCCCGCAGCTCGCTGGGGACGGTAAGTCACTCAGAGGGGCTCCGCCGCACCCCGAGCTCGGGACGGGGCTGCGGGCAGCGGCTCGGAGAGGGCGAGCTGGGAGACGTCGACCCCGGATCCGCAGCCGGGTGAGCCCTCCGCTCTAGGGTCGATCCGGGGATTCGGTTCGTAGCCCGCTGCCGGAGTTCGTGTTACCCCGCGGCAGCGCCCCGCAGCGGCCATTTTCCCTTGCTGAGGGGAGTGGGGGGCGCCGGCCGGGAGGTCCGTCGCGGGGATAGGCGGGGCTGCGCCGTTTCCGGGATTTATCCCTGAGTCAGGGAACGCACCGCTGGATTTACAGGAATGTGTGACGGCTTCCCAGAGGCCGTTAACTCCCGAGGCACCGCGAGACGCTCCCATTCTTGAGGCTGCCACTGCCCCGGGGCGCTGGGGAAGCTCCGCGGTCAGGCAGTCCCGGTGCCCGTGGGCGCTGTTGCTGTGCCGCCTTGTGCGGGGCGAGCAGCGGCTGTGCCCGACCTCTGCAGCTGGGGGGGCATCACAAAGCGAGTTGGCTGGTGAATTTCCTTCTTTGCTCTCCTGGATCCAATTTCTAAAACTTCTCAAACTTCAGCTTCTAGCAAGGCAGCGTGGTTGGGGCTGTGAAGCACTCCACCCCTTCGCCTGGCTGCAGAGCACTGGCATCTCACAGCCTGGTTGGGATTTGTAGAGGTGGCTTGCATACAGGTTTTTAAGCAGCAAACCTGAAAAATCACCTTTCTGACCTAATGATAGTGGTACGTGTGTTTTGCTGTAATTTATATGCTATATGTAATATTGATGTTATTATAAACAAGATGCACAAAATGCATTGAACTCCTTAGTATGTTACCTTGTCCTCAGTTTCATAGTGTGGTGGAGGAAGAGTGCTCCTTAGTAGGATTACTTTTCTTTTTCCCTCCTACTTACATTCGGTCAAAGTCAACTTCATAATTACACCGCAAGCTCATTACAGATAATTTATGCCTTTTCCATAAAATCATACTATTTTCATCAGTGTTAAAATTCCTGCTCTGTTGCTTGTCCTTTTATCTACCACTTATTTTCCCTTCTGCATTCACCCTCGTGGCCTTTCTTACTTCTTTGATGCCTCTATTCTGTTTTTCTGATTCTTAAAAATTTACTATAACTTGTTCGTATGCATTCTCTTCACGTTCTTAACCTCATTTCTTCATCCTCTGGGTTTTCACCATGTATTCCCACAACTTTGGTAGTGGAAAAAATGACAGCTTCCTTCACTGAGGCCAGTGTTTGAATATAGGTAAATATATATAAAGTTGGTTTAGTTTTATGAGGAAAAATGATGAAACAGCTACAAGGGTGCTTCTGATACTGGTTGATTTTGAAGGTTAAGGTTTTGAAACTGGAAGCCTCTTTTCACAAGAGCTGTAAACTCAGCTGCCATGTTTGTTACCAGAGGCATTGGGCCCCATGCCTTGTTCACAGTGTGAACAGCAGCAAATGTCTATTGAGATTTCAGACCAGGGCAAACACGCGATACTGGAAAATAGAAGTTTCCCAGCTTCCAGAAACCTGTGAAATTTCCAAGTCAGTGTCTTTGTCCTAGGAGCCCTGTGTATGTTTCTCCTGCTGACAGATGTGGTTGTCGCTTTTGGAGTCCAGGCATATTCTTGGTGGGGAGCCCCACTCCTCGGCTGGGTGTTGGCAAAGTACCTCTCTGTGTATTTGGAATTCTGTCACTTGTATGTTTCTTGTGAGACCTGTTAGTTTTTTCTTTGGAAGAAAGAAAGAATAGCCATCCTGTTTCATCTTCTCCATGGTGTTCATGACTTCGGGACTTAATTCTCAGCTGCCTCTTTTACAGAGTGGTGTTTTTTAATCATTTTTCTTGTAGTAGCTGTTCTGTAGCTCTGACCATTGTCATTTCTGGGTTAACTTGCATTCTTAAGACTGGGGACCAGCCCAGTAGTCTGGATTCCAAGTGCAGGGTCCTTATGGATTTGTATGTAACAGCACGCTCTGTTTTGTTCTCAAGTCCCTTCCTAAGAGTTCATAGCATCTGTTTGGATTTCTGATTGCTTTGTCCATCCAAGTTCATTCCATTTGTGTCTGCTTATTAATGCAATTTTAATTTCTATGTTTGATGACTTCCATGAAGCAAGTCATCTGGGCCTGTGCCAATCCGCATTACATGGTAATTTCAGTTCTCACAAGCAATCAGTATTACCAGTTTGGATGGCTTTATTTTTTAATCTACAGGTTTTCTTTGAACTAGCCTTATTATTTGAGGTAAAAACAATATTGTCTTTGGTCATCTCAAGGTGGCTTTGCTTTTATTTGGGACAGAGCAGGATATTCTATATTATGGTCTTGGCTTTGTCCCTGTGCTTTCTTGGCATGCCTGGAAATCCAGCCTAGTGAACCTGAGAACAGAAAGAGGATCTCAAAGAAACATCACTACATTTTTCTATTAAACAGAGATTGTCAGTTCTAAGGAATTGGATTCAGCATGTGGCAATTACTCGACTCCTAAAAAAATCCATCTAGTGAATCACTGATACAGGGACCTGAGCGTGGCCCCAGGACAGCTGCCCAGCTTAGCAGCTGCTCTCTCAAAATTAAAGCCCTGGGAAGGGAAGTGTGAAGGGGGAGGTCCCTGTCGGAACAGTGCTCTGATTTGAGGTGTGTGGCTGCACCCTCAGGGTCAGACTGCTGGGTGGTGGTTGTGTGTGTGTGTGCTCAGGGTGCAGGCACAGTCTCCTGGTTTTAGACGAAGCCCAAAATGCAGTGTACCACCGTTTGATCTTCATTAAATGGAGGATTATATGTAATAATAGCTAATGTATCTTCCTTGTGACCTTTCCAGGTTTTAGTGAGCAATGAAAAAAGCTTCCTGTTAATGTTGCATTTCTCAGTGCTTAAAGCAGAAGTGCTGGTTTCCCATGCATCTTTGTACATCAAACTAAAAACTCTAAAAACTTCAAAGAAGGAGCTTTTGGTGATGGCTGAAGCAGTCACACAAGAAGGGTAATGCTGCACCCTGATTTCTTTGGAGTCTCCTTACTCTTCTTCCCAACTCCCAGACCTGCTAATTTGTATGACTCACTGTTGTATCAACAGGAGCTGTCAGCCACTAAGTTGCGTGGAAGGCCTGAAAAGGAGCTAGGATTGCCTCCCAGGTGATGAGCGTATGTGTGTGGCTGTCACCTGGAGGAGCAAAATGATTTGAGAAAGCTGTGCATGTTTTCACCTGCAGTATTTTGTTTATTTCTTCGTCAGTTTCAGAAGTGAAGCCTTGAGTTTCTGCTGACTCGTTTTTCCTGGGCAGTCCCCGCTAGCTAAAACCATGAATCACCGGTGTGCACAATGTGGTTTGGTGGTTTGAGTTATCATTCAGCTTCAGTAATCCAGGCTGTCCATTTTTCTGAGCAGTGCTGGTTTGTCCTCCTTGCGAGTGAGATAGGAGCATAAAGTTGTATGTCCAGCAGTGGAAAATCTCTCATTTCAGTTGTACAGGACCTGTAAACTCTGTCTTGGTGACCTGCTACCTAGACTTGAGGCTTCCTCACTTGATAATTTCCTGAACTCTATTGGGTTTATCATGGGAGTAAACAAGTGTAATTGCTGAATGGTCTGGGAGTTGCTTAAGATGGTGATGGTTTTTTTTCTTTTTTTTTTTTTGAAGGGCTGAATCATTGGTTGTGAGTCATCTGTGGTCTGACACATTCTGATCCTCAGATTTTGATCAGTAATAATGAATGTGCTGATTCTGGTTTGATTACACTTATTGATATGCTTTCACTTAATCTGAATGATTGCAAACACCTTTCCTGTTTTGTTTTCCTTTCTGAAGATGTATCTGACCATCTGTCTTTGGCTTGATCTTTGATGCTTCCCTCTGTTGTTTATATTACTGGCTTGTTTGACTTTTGGACCAGCTGTATATATTCCCTTGTTGGAAGATGCATCATTGGCTGAAAGATCAGTTTTTATTGTTACTATCAGACCATCTGTATGAATGATCTTTTACCCATTTTCCTGCAGACAGTCAATCTTGTGAGGCTGTCAGCTGCTGGAACAAATTTTGTTTCTTACTTAATTTTGGAATGTTTGCATTTATCCTGTGGTCAGCTAATCAAGCCTGAAATGATAGCTATTTGAATGTGTCATTTCTTTTTTTTTTTTTTTTTCTAAACTTGTTACCATTTTAGCAGCTGGTGTATTGAATATGTCTGTTGTGAGACAAAGAGCTCTGAGTTTTTCTTGGAAAAAACTGAGTTATTTCTTTTTTAGAGTTGCCAAGCCCTATCCTTCTTAGGGTTTTAAATGTGTTAACTTTCTCCTCCAACGCTTCAATTCTGGGAGAGAAACAGGATAGTGTGGGGCTGTCATAGCCATCTCTTTTTGCATATCCTCTCTGAAGATTGCAACCACAAAACTGGTATCAACGTTGTGGTTTACCCTTACTGGTTTGCTGCTCTTTTGCTACAGCTCTCCTAGCCAAAAAAAAAAAAAAAAAAGCAAAAAGAGAGCTCTGTAGTTGTAGTTGTGCCTGTGCAACAAGGTACCTTACTGATTTCAAAAATGAAAGCTGGGAACACATTGCAACATAGAGATATTAATATAATGAAGCTCAGTGTGAAATTGTGTGAGCAGGACAGATGGTATTCCTTTTCATTTTGATGTTGTTTAATTTTTGCTTGTCTGAATGCATGGTTGGAATACGTGTCCAGGGTGTATTTTTTCTGTTGGGCCTGCAGACTAAGGTGGTCTTTATGTGTTGTGCTGAGTCTGCCTACATTCTCATGCGCAGGGTCTTTGGCTGATGAGTCATCTATTCTGTGGTCCTAGCAGGATGAAGATCTTTTGGCTATGACACAAAAAGCTCATTTCTCAATTCTACTGCTGGGAATGGTGTCCTTCACTACCAATCAAGCTGTTCTTTTAACCCTTTATTCTGTTGTTCATTCCAGTGCATACATGCACACATCGTACTGCAGTCAAGGCAGTCATAATATTTTTATTGTTAAAATAAATAATATTAATAACACAATCGTTTTATAAAGTAATCCTAATTAAATTATTATAATATAATAATATTTTATTGTTAAAATTCTTGATAACAGTAACCTTCAAAATTAAAAATAGCAAGTAAATCTTAAAGGAGTAAAAAAGAAAAAGTCTAGAGCTTTGTGGCAGGCTGCTCAAACCGACTGCTAACAGTATCAGTTTAAAACAAAAAACTTATTAGCTGGGGAGAAGTCGATAACCTAACTTTCCCACTTCTCTAGGGCTGGCCTGCTCAGAAAAAAATTTGGAAGCTTTTCTGTACTTTGCCTACTGTGATATCATCCTGTGCCTTTTTATTCCAGACTTGCCATCTGGTTTACTTATTCAGTTGTCCTGCAAGTACTGGATGCATTCTTCTCTCTGGAACTGTTTCTAGATTGACTTGTTCTTTTCCTTCATGAAAACATTCCTATGCTCTTGAGTAATTTTCCTGCAAGCTGCAGCATCTTCAAGGCATTCCGTCTATATGTTGTACATCACAAAAAATATTTGCTCTGCTTACAGCTAGATAATAATAGAGGTGACAGGCATGACTCCCTCTAATACTGAACTCTGCTGAAGTCAGCTGTGCAGTCTGCCAGGGGATGAGAGATTCTCTAACGTTTTTCTTTTTTTTTCTCCCTTTCCCTTTTTGCAGGTTATCCTAACATTTGTCTGTGTGCTGATGGATGAATCAGAAGGAATTGCTCCAGTGCCATATATGCTGCAACTCCGTCGGGTATCTTTGGATGCAAGAGATCCCTTTAACATCTTGAGGAGAGAAAAGAGGCAGGTGCGGTGTCAGCTTGGACAATACCTACATCCCAAAGGGACCCACTGCTGCATGAGGTGCCATGCAGGTATAATACAGTAGAATAAGTGCATTACTCTTCACCTCAGTTGCATTCCCTTGTCCCGTGCTCTCAAACTATCTTGTCCTATAGCTACATCAGTGCTCCATTTCCTTGATAAGAATTCTTTCTCTCTGTCTCTTCTCTTGGACTGTCAGTCTCCTCCATGCTCGTGAGAAGAAGCATGCTCAGTCCTTTCCCTGTCGACTCCAGAGTTTCTTTGAGGATTCAGTGACTCCAATTCTCCCTCAGACAACACGTGTATCTTCCTGTCAGATCTCTCCTAAGCTGTTTTTGTTGCAGGTACCTACAAGTCAGAAGATTGTAAACGGCGTGACCAGGCCCCTGTCTGTCTTCCCTGTCCTAATGGCACATTCACAGCTGTTGACAACATCATGAAAAAATGCTTCCAGTGTACACGGTGCCGAACAGGTGAGTTATCCACGAGTCCTGAGGAAAATGGGTGGTGTTAGGAGGTGAGGGTCTGGAGGGGATGGCAAGATGAGTGAGCAAGCCTGGAAAAAAAGTGACTGAGTGGGTACAGGACAAGTGTAGGGGAAGGGATTCAGGGACAGCAGGGATAAGACTTGCAAAGTTAGCTACAGTCTGAGATGCTGTTTGCAGCCTTTGTGTTGTTTTTGTTTCTTGTTTTTCCTGTATGTAGATTAGGGGCTAATAACACCTGTTGTCTTAACACTGGTCTCAGCTGAAGGTAGGGTTGGTACAGTCACTTTTCATTCCTTTCCTCAGAATTGCAGCAGATAGAAGAGACCCCATGCACCCTAAAGCAGGATACTGTGTGTGGCTGTCGGAAGAATCAATATCAGTTTGGCCATGCTGATTTCTTTCAGTGCAAGAACTGTAGCCCATGTGTTAATGGAGTTATTGCCAACTGTGAGTAGAGCATGGGTGTGGTACAAATATATCTATTGGCAGCTGCCATTAAGATTGATGTTAGCATCCTTCTCCTTGTGTGCTAATGTGCTGCAGCAGCTTGCCTTTAAGTGATCTTAGCTTTGAGACAACTCTGTTTTGCTTGTCTGCTTTCCTGAGGAAGACTGTCATTTTTTGCCTGCCTGGAAATCAATTCCTGTTTTCTGTCACAGGTTCTACCTTAATTATGTGTGTTCTTGTGTTGGCTATCATGATATATTTGCTACTTAATTTCAGTAGCTCTGCCTTCCTTACATGTACTGAAGTAAGATTTTATGTTTGAATGCCAATTTCCTACTTGCTTTCCTCTTTTTGTCTTTCCCTGGATATTTCACCTTATACAAATATACCAACTGGCATTTCATCGCCATCACTGTGATGTGGGGATGGTGCAGATGTCTGAAAAAACTAGCCATGTTAGCTATCCCAAGCTATCTCTTTTCTAGTGGGGGATCAGAGATGTTAACCCCAGTCTGTTTGCCAGCCTCCAGTTTGTCCTGAAGTCTAATTCTGCTCACGTCCCTTAAATGCTCCTTACCTTGCTGTCCTAAAGCAATCCCCTTTTCCTCATAAATTCTGCTTGTCCTGTCCTCTTCAGTGTGATTTTTTTTTTTTTTTTTTGGTCTCTTTGTTAAATGCATTCCCTGTGGAGTTTAGTGAACTCAGTTACAGTTTTTGTGCTTACACCTGCTCTCAAGGGTCATCATCATCATACACTGTTCTTGAGTGACTTGTCTGATCTTCGTTTTGTCCCTCACATGTAACAGAATGTATGCTGCTTATTCTAGTGCCTTTTTACCTCTTTTCTTTCAATTTTGTCCTTTCTTCACTACTATTGCCTGCTTTTTTTTTTTTTTTTTTTTAATTTCAGCATCTGTGCCGTGGCTTGCTTAAAAGCAATAGCTTTTCAATTTCTCACCCTTCACAATCACCGAACAACAGATCACAAGTGTGAATATGTATGTCCCATGGCTTGAAGTGATTTCTCCCTGCTGTGGACTGACTTCCTCAGCAGTCCCAGCTGCTCAGAGACCACTTCTTCCTCATTTTTGCCTAATGCAATTTCCCCTTCCTGTCACACTTGAACTGGAGTGACTTTCCCCATTCTGCATTGCAACAATTCTTATCCATCAGACCCATCTCAGATGCAGTCTTTTTTTTTTCCTTTTCCCAACCTCAACAGAGGTGTCTGGCCTACCAGAACAGTGATGTCCTCACCTTTATTATTATTTTCTTCTTCCCCAGCCCCAAGTAAATTGAATCTTCTTTCTTCAGTAACAGTTCTTCAGGCTCAAAGAGGAATAATCTCTCACCTGTTTTGGGATGAATTTTTCCCCTTTTGATTTCTTTGTTGTCCAGATTTTGGCAAGAGTTTCTTCTTTTTTTCTGCAGGCTCAAAGGACAGAGATGCAATTTGCAGGTGTAAGCCTATGTTCTTCCTGACACTTAATAACGTTTGCAAACATTGCAACAGGTAGGCTTTTATTCTTTTTCTCTGTGTGACTGTGAAATGGAGAGAGAGTTGACTCAAGTTCTACAAGGGGAGGGAATTTTTCTCAAGGTTCTGTCTGTCTTGATTTTACATGACTCTGGCTTTTTGGGGCAATTAGTATTGTCCTCCATTCCAGTTCTCTCCATTGTGGAGAACCAGTGAGGATCACAGTCAGTAGGCACACTACATTGCCTGCATTGCTCTGCTTTGCAGACTCCTCTGGACTCATTCTAGGATTGTTGCAAGTGTCTGGTGTTGCATTTCATGTTGCATGCTCACATCTTTGATTTATTCTTTCAGCTGCATTGGAGAAGAATGCTTGCAATGCAATAGCCCAGTGACTACCTCTCCAAATTCATCTGAGCTGAGTGCGTACTGGGGCTCAGGGGCAATGGAATCTTTTCAGTGCAAACTTTTGTTTTCTCAACATTACCTGTCAACCCCTTGCTTTCTCTACTGTTTCAAATCATTATTCTTTTTCTCACTACCATTTGCCTGCGCTCCCTTGCTCTTCTTTCTCAAGCACTTAGGTACTTACCTGTTCCTTTCTCTGTCACTCACTCATTTGCCCTCTCCCTTTTGTCCAGATGGGAACCTTGTTCTTGGCATCATTGTGGCAATAATTGTAGTTATCTGCATCCTCTACGTTGTAACTAAAGCAGTGAAGCTGGTTCAGAAAAATGGGATAGCTTCTTCTTTCTACTCGTGTGGTGAGTATAGCAGCATATGCTGTGATACAAATTGTGATAGACATCACTCAGCTGTGTGAATGTATGCATGCACACGTGTGTGAGGAAAACAGTGGAATCCATTACTCTGCTCTGACACAAGGCCAGAGGGAACGTGAAAACTCAACCAGCCAAGCTTGCTGGTGCACTTCCTGCAGCTCTGCTTCTGTGCTGTGACTGGAAGTGCATGTGAGCTCATTTCTGGCAGATGACAGTTTGCTATAAAAACCTTTTGAGGTCAGGATTGTGAATAGTTGCTTTCCTGTTTTCTCTGGGAAGAGAGGAAGTGAAAATAATTTGTTTTCTTTCTTTTTCATTCAAGTATCTTTGCCACAGAGAAGCAAGGAGCCTGTATCTGAGGTGAGCAAGATGATGATTATAAGAGCTTCCCTTTCTCTTTCAACCATGTTAACCCGGGATCCAGAGTAACATTGTTCCCCATGGGCTGTTTTCAAGCCTTATGTTTTCAAATAAGCTGAATAATAGGGCTGTTTCATTCAAAAATATTTCATTGTAGTGTGTGGAACCATTAAAATTTTACTTTCTTTTTGCTAGGGGATGCTTTTCAAGCTCCTGACTTTTTTCTTTCTGCGTGCATTGTTTTTTCAGACAGCTAATCCTTAATCCCATTGTCTCCTTATATATTTTAAGATGAGAAAATTTAGATGATTTTATTTCACTTCAGAACTTCAACCCATAGGCCTCTCAGTCCAGCTTTACAGTGTTTCCTCAGGTGCGTTGTTGATAAGCAGCAATTAAGAGTAATAATCAAGGTAGGGTTCCCACAGCGTTACAAAGAGGGTTGATGAGAGAGGTGGCCTATGGAACTTGTACAGTGGCAATGAGTTGGAATTCCAGGCTTTCTTTGAGGCTACCATTTTCTTGATGTCAAAAGAAGAATTAAATTTCTTGTGAAATAGACTTTTGATGCCTTCTGCTTAAAAAAGATAGGAAAAATTCAAACTTCAGCACTTGCTTCCCACCTATCTTTGCTACATTTTCTTTTATAAAGCTGGTGATTCCTTGCAATGGGAGTACTTTGCTACTGTGGGTGATTCTGAACTAAGACATTGTCTCTTTCAGGTGGAGGTAAAAGGAAGTGCAATTACTGTCCTTCCCGAGACCCAGAAAGAAAAAGAATTGCTAGTGAATGCAACACCACCATCTGTACCTCTGCTACAAAGTTCACATGAGCTACAAAGTTCACATGAGCTACCAGACTGTGTCAGACCTGCCAGGAAGAGGCAGCTTCCAGACAGTAAGTGTAACTCCGGTATCCCTCCCTAGGCAAATCAGGAGTTGATTATGCAGATATGGCTGGGAGGATGGATGAGACCTTACCAGGTGTGCATGCCCTGTGTATGTGCATGCATACTTCATGCATGGCACAGCTCAAAGAAGCCTGACCAACATCTATGAGCCTACATAGGAGTAAACATCAACACAAGTCTTTCCTGTTGCCCATTTTTGCAACCAGCAAAATGGATTGTCTCATATGCTGCCATAGTGTAAGTCTTAATGCCTCTTTTTTTTTTAACAAAAACATGGCAGTAAGGCCCTAAGCTTGTATGTTTAAGTCTGTTTGTAACCTTATACATATGGAAGTATCACATTGTTTTTTGAGGGTTAAGAGTAAGTCTGGACATCGTGTGGGTCTATAGAAGACCTGAACAGGAGGGGGCAATGCAAAGTCCTAATACACATTCCCCTTGACGCTGGAGAATCCTGATTCTCACACTTCATTTCTTCTCTTCTTTTAGACCCTGCTATTCTCTACACTGTGGTCGATCATGTACCACCATCTCGGTGGAAAGAGTTTGTGAGGCGTCTGGGTCTGACTGAGTATGATCTGGAGCGAATTGAGATGGAGCATCGACGTTTACGAGATGCCCAGTATGAAATGGTCAGACTCTGGAAACTGCAGATGGGCCATGCTGCAACTGTGGAGCACATCAGCTGTGTTCTCAACCAAATGGAGCTGAGTGGCTGCAGTGAAGCTATTCAAGAGGCTTTGCTAAACCAGAACTCTCATCAACCTTGCAGTTTCCACAGCCATCTTTGATCTTTCCCCTTGCTCTGACTGGTGAAAGAGGATCATAACTTCATTTCTTGTCTTCCTTTTCCCATTCCCTCCTATCTTTCTAACCCTCCTTAAATGGGTTATTGGAAACAGCAGCAGCGTGTGCTGGAGGTTTGCTTTGCAACCACCATATTAGTTCAACTCCTTTTAAGCCAAGAGAGACCTCTGCAACAACTCCTTTCCCAAAGAGGGAAAGCACCTCATAAAGGAAGTGATATGTGGACTCTGATCAAGATGAAAACAGGAGCTTAGAGTGACGTGATAGCTCAGCTACTCTGCAGACAAGTTGTTGCTGAAGCAGGTGCTTCACTCACCATGTGACAGGCTAACTGGCAGAGTGACTTGGTTGAACTGGCTGTTCAAATGCTAAAATACTTATTCACTTTTTGCAGATCTATTTTTCTGCAATATCAGATACTTAAACTGGCTCACATTGCAGCCATTTGATTGCAAAATCTGACTCAAGGGAAGTTGTGAGAGGACTTGCCTGCAACTGGCATGTTACTTCTGGGAGCAGGAGAGGATTGCTCCCTTTTGGTATCAGCTACTTATCAAAGTGCTGCACCTTTAGCTCTCTTACTGTGGCAGAAATTGCAGAGATTTGGAAGGGGTGGCTCAGAGAGAAACAGGAGGGCATTATCCTTTTCACACTCCCATTTCCCTCTGATTCCAGAGGAATAAGGATTCTGAGCCAGCGGGTCAGATGAAAGGGTTGGTGCTTTTTCTAAAGTTTCTTTTCTGTATAAAAACCATAAAAAGCATTAACAAAACATGTGCCTGTATGTTTGTCCTAGTGCAGAGAGGAAAAGAATGCACGTGTCTGTGTGGGCGAGGAGGTACCTTTGTACCTGGCAGTGAGTGTCCCTGCAAATCTGTGCTTACACACAGGTTGGTAGGCTTGTGTCTGCTTGCCTGTCTCTCCCTGAATGATTCACTGAATCTGACCTAGCTGCAAATGGGACGGTGTATATGTACATACATATGAGTCTTTTTTTAGCAGCTGTTGGATAACTTCACACTACTTTCTGGACTCCATTATGTAAGTGCTACTTGGGTGTAAGAGACATCTGATTCCATCTACAAGCTCTCACCGTTGTTTTCTCATGGCTATTACCCTGAGTGAAGCAGAAGTAGCAAAAAGCAATTAGCCTGCATCAGGTGCAGGTCCACATATTTGTGAATGTGGATTTTTAAAAATCTGTTGTCCCTTGACTAGAGAGAACCTTTCTACTGTAAATACACTAAGTGCTCCAAATTAAAATTCATATTTTTAACCCTGCCTCCGTTCTGCTTTTGTCCATATCAGCTTCGTTTCTTTGGCTGTGGGAGCAGGGGGAGAGTGGAGAATGACTTCCAAAAGCAGAAAGGGTGGGGTGTGTATGAGCTGGAATGTAACTCTGGTGAAAAAAGTGTGTATTTAAGAAAATAAATAATAAAAATAGTCTTTTCTATGTGAAGCTTAGCAGCTTAGCTGCCATTAAGACACAGACAGCTTTGAAGGCAGCAACTAGGACTGAAAGCAAGTCATTTCAGGCATTTGAGAGTCAAATGGAATGTCTCATATTTAAAATTAATTTTGAAACAATGTGCAAGCATTTGGAGGTTTAACAAGGAAAAAATTATAAAAGAATAATAATAGATTATACTTCAATGTTACTCTTGCTGAGGCAAGTATTTGTCCAAGTTATCCAAGGAACCAAAACACTATAATCAGACAGTAAGTTCCTCCTGTGTTGATGGGAAAACTTGTGGGGAAATGAAATGTGCCCAAGCTGTCAAAGGCTTCAGATCCCAGCAGTGTCAGCTTTAAGTCCCAGTTTCAGCCTTTGTTTTGCCACTCTCTAAAATCAGAACTCATCATAAAATCCTTTTTTGTGTTCAACAAACAGCAGTATGATAATAACTAGAAGTGCATACTCTTCATGTTGTGGATGAAATGAGGAAACCAGGTATGCCAATGGCAGGCTGCTGCCAAGCCATCGGGGGCTGCAAGCCCAAACTGCTTGTACAGAAAACAATTCAGAGTGTTGAGAGGCTTCAGAGGATTTTAAAGTTGCCTTCAGAGTAACTAAGCCATTTTGGCACATTGTGGGTATAGCTGTGAGAAGTGAACAGAAGAAATCAATGCGTGGAAACTGAATGGCAAAGATTTTCTACCATTAAGTCAGGTATTCTTTATTAGCAGCACCAGGAAGCACTGGGGTACTTGTACCATAAGCCCTTCCAAGATGATGTGACTCAGAGTCCATTATATTTCCACAAGTAGTACATATTCATCAATTACCTGTGAGATAACTAACACATACATGCTATCTCAGGTAGTGATTGATGAGGTTTCCAGTCTTCTAGGGCAACAAGGATTGTGAAGGGTTTGGAGAATATGCCCTATGAGGGGAGACTGAAGGAACTGGGGCTCTTCAAGTCTGGGGAAAAGGAGACTGAGGAGAGACCTAATTGCTCTCTTCAAATACCTGAAAGGTGTTGACAGCACGAGCAGGGTTGGTCTCTTCTCACTGGTGACAGTGACAGGACAAGGGGAAATGGCCTCAGGTTGCACCAGGGGAAGTTTAGGTTGGATATCAGGAAAAACTTTACAGAAAAGGTTGTTAAGCACTGGAATAGGCTCCCCATGGAGGTGGTCGAGTCACCATCCCTGGATGTGTTTAAAAAGCATTTGGATGTGGTGCTCAGGGACATGATTTAGCAGAGGGTCGTTAGAATTAGGGTAGTGTGGTTAGGTAATGGTTGGACTTGGTGATCTTTTCGAAGCTGAGCGATTCTGTGATTCCACGTGTTGGAAATATCCAAATAATTTTCCAGGACAGTATCTCTGATAAAGCAGATTTTATTTGCAATTGCAAGCAGGAGCGCACACAGAAAACAGTGTTACATCTTTTATCCCCTATTGCCCAACACTTATCTCTTTCTCCCCTGGTTCCTCATTGGCTGAGTATTGCAGGTTCACACTCTTGCAACGCCTCACTAATCATACAAATACCAAGTAAACACAAATCCTTGCCGCCCAAACACAAATATCTTAATTGGTTAATTGCCTTCTAACAATTGCTTTCTTAACCATCATCTGGTCATAACTTTCGGATGCCTGCTTTACAACATAAACATAACCTCTTAATTGTTTAATTACCCCCTAGCATTTGTGCCCTTTACGTTTGGTCATTGTTCTGGTCATCCGTTTGTCCTTGCCTAGAGATAAGCTCAGAAGGAGGATAGAGGGGAGTATCTTGGACCCTGCCTATGGCATCCTAACGTTCCCACAGAGTGGGACGGTTCTGCTTTGTGTGAAGGCCCTGACTCCTTGAAAGCTTGTTAAATGTATTTCACCTCTGCTGGCCTAATGAACAACCTCACAATATGTTTCCTAGTTCAGAATACTATACCCACATTCTTTAGAACATTTAAAGTCTACTGCGGCTTTCTGAGACAGAATTTGTCAGGTAATTCGGTAACTAAGTTTCTAAAATATGTTACTTATACGTATATGGCATTTCTACTTTTCACATCAGCTATTTCTAAGGATGTGCTACAGCTTACAGCTCAATTGCCCTTTTCAATATCCAATGCAGAAACAACATTTTCACTTTCCACACTATGATTCTATTCCATGGTCTCTTCTACCGCCTAGCGTCCTTTTAGCATCATGGCAGTCCAACAGACAGCCTTTTGCTTCAGCCAATGGTCTTCCTCGCTTGCCCTCTACATGAGCTTTCATTGCTGCGTGCTCAGTAGATCGCCTATTAGAAGTAATTTATACTAAATACTTCTTCCAATCAGAAGCATCTCTGATCTTGGATAGCCACCTTCAGGAAAATGGGATTTTTGCATGTTTGTGTGTATAAAAAAAAAAAAAAAAAAAAAAGCCACCGTTATCCATCGAGCGAACCAAACCTCCGGGTTTTCCAACCCACCGCTCCGTCCCCTCACAGCTCCCCCCTCCCTCACAGCTCCCCCCCTCCCGCCGCCTTTGGTACGTCCCGACGGCCCGCGGTGCGTGCCGGGAGGCTCTGCGGTGGGGGCCGCTGGGTGCGGGAGGCGCTTTGCTCCCGCCATGGCGCTCAACAAGTCGATGCACGCGCGCAATCGCTACAAGGACAAACCGCCCGACTTCGCTTACCTGGCCGGCAAGTACCCCGAATTCCGGCAGCACGTACAGACCACCCTGGCCGGCAGGGTGAGGTAGGCGGCCGCGGGAGGTGGGTTTCCCAGCTACGCGCGTGTCGGACCCCAACGCAACGCCTGTTTGTGCTTTCAGCCTGAACTTCAAGGACCCCGAGGCGGTGAGAGCTCTGACGTGCACCCTTCTGAAGGAGGATTTTGGGCTCACCATTGACATCCCTCTGGAAAGGCTCATTCCGACCGTCCCCTTGAGGCTGAACTACATCCACTGGGTGGAGGATCTCATTGGCCATCAGGACGCTGACAAGCGGGTGCTTAGGCGGGGCATTGACATAGGTATTTACTGCGAGCTGTTTATAAGGCGAAGTGTTTAATTAGTTCGTTATTTATGGCTAATGAAGCTAAGATTCGTTGCACAGCAGTGTTTTTGAGAAAGCAAATGTGTGGGAAGTCGGTTGTATTTTTGTTTTTTTCCTCTGTCTTCTAACTGATGAGTTGTGTTAGCATTTTAAACGTAAACAAGAGTTTGTGTATGTCTAACAGCTTATGACTTGCATAGTAATTCCTTCTAGGGTTCCTTTAATAAGATACTTTTTCTGTGTGTTGTGGCCGAACGCCGTGCAGCCCTTTGCTCACTCTTTCCTGCAGTGGGATGGGAAGGAGAATTGGGGAGAAAAAGGTAGAAATCCTAGTCTGAGATAAAAACTGTTCGCTAGGCCAGAAAAGGAAGATCGAGCAGTAATGATGGTAATAATTATTTATATGTATGTACATGCACACACACACCAAGCATGTGACGCACAGTGCAGTTGCTCACTACTCACCAACCAATGCCCTACCAGCCCCCAGCAGTGATGGACCCCTCCCACCCCCCTTCCATTTGCCAGATCCCCTCAGTTTTATAGTTTATCTTCTCATCAAGGCATATGGTGTGGAATATCCCTTTGGCCAGTTTAATTGAGCTCTCTTGGTTCTGTTCCCTCCGAGCTCTTTGTGCCTCCAGCCTCCTCGCTGGTAGGACAGTATGAGAAGCTGAGAAACTGAAACATCCTTGGCTCTTTGCAGCACTGCTCAGCAACAACTGGGTATTGTCAGGGTATTGTCAACATTGTTTTTCTCCTAAAGCCAAAGAACAGCATCATACCAGACACTATGAAATCATTCTGTCCCGCCTGAGACCTTCTAGCATTAGGTGGGATGGTTGGTGGCCCTGCGTGTGGCAGGGGGGTTGGAGATTCATGATCCTTGAGGTCCCTTCCAACCCTGGCAATTCTGTGATTCTGTGATGACTCTGTGGTTTCAGGTGTGTGTTACAGATCACTGATCTGTGTTTAAAAAAAAAAACAACAACAAAAACCTTGAATTATTATTTTCTTAGTTCTTTCATGGTTTAAGTTTTAAAAGAAGCTTAAATAGGAACCAAGGAAGCTACTAGCATAGGCATCTTTTGATTGAAAAAGGTTTTCTGTAGTAAACAAGATATAGTTTAAACTGGACTGAACAGCCACAGGTGTATGATAGCAGCCAGTATACGTGTCTGAGAACTCTGCAACTCCTTTTTCACTTCTTAAGCTTTGCTTGTCTTTATTATGAAAATGCTGCAGTTACTGACTTCCTCAAAGCTTGGGTTCAGTAATCTCAGTTACTATGCAAATATTTGTCAAGAATGTTTTCTAGGTGTTTTCTAGCTTAGTGTTATTTGTTGGTATAATTTTTCAACACTTGCATTCTTGACTTGGTTTCAAGTAGGCTGTGAAGATTTGTATCACCACGTGACATGCGCACAGCTACTTTCATAACTTTAAAACTTGATAGCTGACTTCAACACAGTTGTCATTAGATAGTATTTTCAAAAACAATTCCCATGGACCTCCGGATATAAGTGTGTATGCTTTTTCTTGCTTACTGTTGTTGTTCTTTATGTTTCAGTAAATCCACGTAATAGTAGATTCCTGATAAATCTCTGATCTCTGTTTTTTAAAGTTTTTAGTGATTGGATCACTGGGATGTGCCATACGTTTTAAAAATAATCCTTTTGTGCTGCATTGTATTTCTGTTCATTACCAAGTTCTTATCTGGTTATCTTTGTAGAGATCTTAACTGGCATCCTTGCTGTTCTTTTTTTTTTTTTTTTTTTTTT